TGACGCTTGTTGCAGAGCGACTCGCAGTTTTCAGTTCCTATATGATATTTGTATTCCTATATGATATTTGTATTTGTATTTATATTATCGAGTCCAAGATGTATTCTTCTATATTTTACGTATTTCATGATAAAATTGCAATGACCTCCGCAAGAGTATACGAAGTAAGACTGTTGCTCGACTGCAAGATACCCCCTAGTAGATAATGTTTTCTTTGGCATTTGCCCAGATTATTTTTATAAATTTAATATAGTTTTCAAGAAAAACACATACTATTTTGCTGGTATGAAGAGAAGAAGAAACTTTTCCTAATAAGTTGACACCTGATGCTTAGAAAAAAAAGTGGAGATCAGATAACTGTATCCATTCTCACATGCGGACAGCTTAACACAAATGTAAATTTGATGCACTTATAAATGTTCACCTTGGAATGGAAATTTGAGGGAAAATTCAGAATGGGAAATTCACCAGAGATTACCCCATTATCAAAGTTTAATTGGAAAGATGCCTGATTAAAACATTTTCCTCACTCTTCAGTCCAATCCCTTGGGCATAGACCATTTGGTTGGCCAGTGCGACGATGTATTGGCCAAAATGTAGACATTTTGTTTACGCATTGACTTCAATTACCAACACATCGTGCATATTTCATGAGAGAGCGGCAAAGCGTTTTCCCATGCAGGCTAGCTCGAAATAATTTATTATTTGCTTAGTTCATGTCAATCTTGACTGAGGTCCTGAGGGCTCGTTCTCCTCAGCCTGTGTTCATCAAATGTGGTCGCAGCGCTGACATATTTAAGGGCTTTTGTCTGGTATTTGGGTCAAAGTGCGAATTAGCATGCAGGTTGTTGCTTTCCTACGCCCAACTGGGCGTATACGTAACTTATGCGTCTTGCCTAAATATCTATGGAAGTCCTTTTGTTGTGTGTCCTGTGTCCTTTGGGCTGTCGTGTCGGCTTCAATTTTTGGGGCAATAAGCAAAGATTTGATGCTCGCGTGGCAGCTAAAAATAGCAAAAGGTTCGACGAAAACAACAACAACAGCACTTGAAATATTCATTAAATGTTTTGCTGTGCTGCCTTATTTTGGCAAGACGCCCGCTGAGTGTGCAGCGAAAATTCTGATATTCAAAATTAAATTACAGCCGAGTGCCATTAAAAGCAACGGAAACTGCCGTAAAGATAACAAGCATGAGAAGACATCATCAAAAATGTGCTTCACCCAAAAAAAAAAAAAAAAAAAAATGAAAGTAAAAACAGAAGCAAGAAGATAAAGGTAAACAACATTAAGGTAAATATTGAAATAAAGCGGGTCGAATGCGGCATGAGAGTAGGTCAGTGGGCTGAGGGGCTTAAGAGGGCGCCAACGGCAAACATATAAAGACATGTGTTGGCAAATGCGCACAAATATATCAGTTGAAAACGGAAATATGCCGAGTGAGAAGTCAGCAGAGAGCGCAACAGGAATTTCACGCGCGTGTTTTAATACCCTCACGTGGGTACTATAATTCTGTCACATTGTAAGACACAGTTTATAATATACAGATAAATGTCCCTAGTTCCGCTCAAGTTTCTGGTCCTGCCTATTGGTTCAGTTCATGAACTAGCTTTAAGAAATATAAGTAAATATATATAAGTAAATATATTTATATTCTGTTCGGTTCGGTCACTGCGACTTTTTTAATGGTTTCGGTTCTGGGTTCAGGTTAATAAAGCTAAGGTTATGCTAGACATTCCAGCTGTGAACCCCTTTCAGTTCACGATTCAAACCTATAGCTTGCTTTTTAGTTCGTGAACTAGACTATTTAATACTGTAATTGATTCGGCTCCAGTATTGTTTCAGGCTTGGCAATTTAATCATTTCAGCAGAATCGCGTTCGCAAAGGTATAAAAAATTCGGCGAGCGAAAGTTGACTTTTGCTAATTGTTTTTCTGTTTTTTTTTTTCGGTCTGTTTGCCTTTTGGCTCTTGGCTTTGGCCCTTGTTATGAGCCAAAGAAGATTAATTATGGGGCTGTATTGTTTTGGGCTCTACAGCACATTTTCGCTGACGCGTGGGACAAATTAACGCGTCCCACAACATAAATATGGCTTTTGCTGCGGCCCTCGGAAGCTCTTTAATTCCAACTCCGAAAATATTGTGCAGCAGGCCGAAATTAGGCCCGTATTAATGAGCGGCAGTTAGAGCCGGAATATTAGGCGACAATGAAGGGTAAATATAAACGGCGATATGATAAAAATAGCTGCGGAAAAGTAAGGAAATAGAAAGCTCAAACTTAATTAAATATTGGAAGTCGCTGCTGCCAAAAATAAACACGACTTAAAAGGCAACAGCGGGATCCAAAGGAGCTTCACTTGTGGCTGGGGAGACGCCTGCTCCTGTTGCCTTTGGGGCGTGACTACGTGACTGCGGTCGCCTTTGGGCACGTTGTACGCAATTGTTATTTTCTATTTCACTGAGCCAATGGGTCGTATGCGCAACAGCACCAGCAGCGGGCGGCATATAAAAATCACACATACGACTAGTTGTTGGCCGGATGAGAAAACGTATCCATTCGTATGCTAACATTTGTCGTCTGTCAACGGGAATTAGGTCACTGAATTCGTATTTTTAGGCAATTCCATTATCAAAATGACACGCCCACAGGCAACACTTGATGTCTGCCAGCGCTTTTGACGCATTTCATCAACTCTCGTTCTGTTTTTTTTTTTTTGTGCCAAAGCCACAGACATCAACACAATTGTTGTTCTCCAGGCAGTGTACGTGACTTGATGGCCCATTGGCAGCATCCGAAAACTGTTTTGATTGCCTGTCTGACTCGCTAATTTGTTGCCTTGAGAGCATTGCAAGTTTTCCATCAATTGGTTGAATCAGGCGGCGTATACTTTATATTATATAGCTGCGAGTAGATGTGCAATATTTCAACTAGAGCACTTAATATTGTTATTAAGATGTCAAAAGAAGCGTTTAATTAGAGTAGATGGGATTTTAATTGCCAATGCTTAAATTAAATGAAAAATATAACCTTGCTGTGATATGCAACTCTGACTCTGATTTGCGATACCTAAAATGTTAAATCAAATTCTAGATAAAAAATATATTGTATTATGTTTAATAGACAAACAAAAATGGAACAGCTATCGTGTAACATGATTGATCCGACATTATTACAGGGTAGATTGAAAATAGATTAAAAAAGAGAGTACAATAGTTTTGAGCACATGAATGCAACAGACGGAAAGAATATATGTACATGTGTTAATTTTAAACACGACGAGCTGAATCGTTCGACTTATATTTGTCCGTCTAACCGTCTTGTCAGGGAAACATTTGATACATATATTCGCTGTTAGTTATTTTTTATTACTTAAGCTGATTTGCTCAAGATCTTCGGATTGATTTCGAGGCTGGGTTTTAAGCAAAGCTTGAGAATTATAGGGGCAACACATTAGTTTTGCGGGTTCTACAATATTTTTGCTTTTGGATACCTTCTGGTATAATAATTTAGTATCAAACTAAAAACAACCAGGTTCGAGTATGCCTTTCCCATTGTTCTATTTTCTTATATGGAAGAAAGTGCAAATGTTCTCAAAGTCAACTGTACAGTGTGTACAGAGCATCGCCTCGTTGGGCAGTCTTTTCCATTGTTGGTTTAAATTTAGAATGGAAAATTTGAGGGCAGCATAAATCATAGAAAGCTTAAAGCTGTGCATAAAATTGACTGATTTGTCATATTTATTAGGTAATTATTTCCATACCAGTTCGTCTGCCAATTCAGTTGGAATAATGTTAATCAAATGCGGTACGAACGAACGGGCCAGGCCAGACTACGTCTACGTCTACGTCTTGGCTTGACTTTGCTGGGCTGGGCTGGGCTTGTTGTAAATTCAACAAGGGAATCGCATTTCGCACATAAATTTCCATAAACATTTTATGGCGTTTGCCTGGCAACGATTTCCATCGGGCAATGTATGAAAAATATTGATGGTTCTTTCAATCGCTGACCTACTTTTTGATGCCTATGCCACGACCCAGCCTATGCGCCCGCCCCAGTTGCTGACAACAAGTGACCAAAAATGTAATCAGGCATCGATTGAGCATGTCATATGCCGCGTATACGTAATAAAAGGGCTTCTGGTCCTCAGGCATGGTTGTAATTAGCCTTGATTCATTGTAACAGCTATTTTTGGTAACTTTGGCAACTCGACCAATTCGCGAAGTGGGTCAGTCATTGTTATTATGATTATTGTTTTTCGACAAAAAAGTTGCCAAATAAATATGGATACTTATGCGGAAAGTTGAGCAGGAAAAGGCCAAAGTTTCGGTTTGGTGTAAATTATTTCATTTTATTGAACATGCTGTGTGAATTAAATATTCAGTTTAGCTGCTTCTATTTGGTAAATAGTTAACTTATGATTAAGTAAATGTGTGTATATGGTATATATATATATATCTCATTATAATCGGCTGTATATGTATATAACTGTATTGCTTATGCCTTGCCTTGCCTTGTTTGTATGTATTGTATGCACGATCTATGTATAATTAATCATATATATAGTTGAGTTCTTAGATTGTTTGTTCTTTATAAGTACAATTCGGTAAATGTATGTGTATACGGTTTATATGCCTGCTATAGAATTCATTTATATTATATATAATATAATCAGTTTTGAATTTCAATGTCTGCTTGGTTAGTTTATCGCATATATCATCGGTCTATATATAATATATAACTATGTGAAGCCCTACGACTGGAGTGCGTTACGAATTCATTTTGTTTGTTCTCTAAAATTACGAGCAAATATCTTAGCTATCGAAGGAAATAATTCAAGAGTGTACGAATTAAGTATAAACATAGTTGAGTACTTAAATATTAGATTTAACTGCCTGACAAAATTTTGATCCCATTACGGCAACTAATTGTGTACGTATTTAAGACGAGAGTGTCGTAAATTTTAATTAATAATATTTTAGATTTTAATTTCTGTCTTTTTTTTTTTTATTTTGTTTTCAATTTTGATCTACACATGGGATAAAGGCACGAATGTACAATAATATTATAATCAAATATAGTACTTGGGCGTACTTCAATTAAGCGAAACTTTTTTCTGAAAATTTATCCAATCAATAGAAAATGTACGCAATATCAATTTTTTTTTTTTGTTACTATTTTTCAAAACTTCCCCCTCGACAGTCTTTTGTTATGGATGTTTAATCAAAAGCCGTGTGTGGAAAAATCTAATATCTAGTTTCTAGTTTTTCGCGTGCTTAAGTCTTGGCAATTGTTTGCAAAAATTTGGTTTTCCCTTATTTTCTTGTTTTTCTTTGTTGGTTTGAAATGAGCTTTTTTGTGAACTTCCTTCGTGTGGATATGAAAAGATTATTGTATCACAGATCTCGAAATGAATGGGCATGGATTTGGCACTATGAATTGGAGCTACTTTTCAACTATATTTAACAGCGATATCAAAGGTGTGTGGCTGTGCTTATTTTCGGATTGTTCTGGAATCGTATTTCGAGATTCGCCAGCGGTTTTCTCTAGCGTCTGGCGTACTGACAGCAAACCGAGCTGCGCGGCACCCGCTGCGTCGGCAGACCGGACATGCCCTTTAGATATGTATAGGATACGGGCTGACGCAGTATGCGCTGCGGTGGCGGCTTTACCTTGCTCTTCGTGGATGCGGATGCGGAGGATGCGGACGATGTCGAGCAGGCGCTCGAGCTGCTCGCCGATTTGGAGGCCACCCTGTGATACTGCTGCTGCTGCTGTCGCTGGTGCAGCTCAACGGTCGATACCGATTTCAGAGCAGACTTCAATGGCTGCGGCGCCGGCGGCTGCTGCGGCTGCGGCGGCGTCGGAGGGGAGGGGCCGCTGCACGACAGCGAACGTGATGTTAGCGCAAGGCTCTCAAAGGCGCGCCGCAGCGACGATGTCGACCGGCGTTGCAGTCGTGAGAAGCTTGTGCGGCTCAACGATTTGCGCTTGCCCATATTTTGTTGTTGCTGCTGCTGCTGCTGCTGCTCCTCGATGTCAATGGTGCTGCTGGTCTCGCTGGAGGCGCACGACGTCAGCTCCAGACGCGCAGCGGCCAATCCGCGGCTGGCCGTCAGGGACGATGAGTACGAGTCGGTCGATGAACTGTGCGCGTCCTCTTCCTGTGCAGCTGCCGCTGCTGCTGCCGCTGCTGTTGTGCCGGCAGCTGCGTCATCGCATGCACCATGAACTAGGTCATCGTTTGACCTCAGGCCAAAGCGACGGCTCAGCAGCTGAAAGAAGCCCATGTTGCGCTCGTAGCGAGGCGTTGGCGAAATGCTCGTCGACTGCTCCAGCTCCTGCAGCCATTTGTTGGTGCTGCCTGCTGCATTGTTGTTGTTGTTGTTGTGGTGTTCCTGCTGCAGTTCGTCCGCAAAGCAGACATGTGGCGTGCCCATGGCTGGGTATGTTTACTGTACTATGACAATATAATCTTGGCTGCACTTCCGCTTTGACTCTCTCTCTCTGTCTCTCTCTCTCTCTGTCTTTGTTGTTGCCGGTCTTTGTCTTGCAACTAACTCGCACACACACACACACACACACACAGATAGTTACTTTGAATTGTTTGGCTGTCGGCTTTTGTCGAGCGCTTTGTGTGTACACACTGGCGTGTTGTCCTTTCGCGTTTGAGTCGGCAATTTGAATGCCGCTTCCTTTTATAGACTCGCCCGGTTTGCAGACAGCGCTCGCTGCAAAGCGGCGAGAGAGCGCCTCTCTCTCCCTCTCCCTCTCCCTCTCTCTCTCTCTCTCTCTCTCTCCTAATCTCTCTTTCGCCCTCTGTCTCCTGCTCCATTTCCGTTTGCAGCTTTACTACGTTGTGCATTATTTTGGCGCTGTTGCCTAATAATGGTAACAACATTTGAATTGTGACATTTGTTTACCCGCTTCCTGTGCGTATTTCGCAATTTGTTGTTTGCCGCTATGTTTACACTACCCGCCGCCAGGTGGTGGTGGCAATTTCAATATTTACTCACGTCCTGTGCTGCAATTTAATTGCTTTTGTAGCGCAATTGCACGCGCAAATTGTTGATTCGTCGATTTGTCTCAATTTCCCTTGGCTTTTGCTAAAAATAAAGCGCTCGAGTTTATTTCTAAACTTTAATTGCCGCACGGATATCCCCTTCGTAGGTGGGTTGCAGGTGTGGCTCCTCCTGCTCTTTCGCTTTCCAGAGATGTCGCCAGGAAAATTCATAAGCCGCAATTAAGGCCGTCAAAAATAGATTTTAGCTATTGTCGTTTTGTTTTTTGTTTTTGTCCTTGCTGTTGTTGTTGTTTTGATTATTCAATTACGCACAAAATTGATTTTAATGCGCTATAAATAAAACTAACTGCCAATTTTACGCCTCGTCGCGAGGTCCGGGAAGGGTACATTGAGGCTTTTTAATGCTCTGTCTATGGGGATTTAATGAAGTCCGTTGTTTTAATGGCTCCGTCTGGTGTGGGGGCAGGCTGCAGACGCGGGCGATAATTGTTTCTGTCGTGTTGTCGTGTGTTGTTTATCCTCTAATTAAAAGGCGTAATTTTCGCCCTGACGTCAGTCCGTTAACAGATTTGTCAATTAAAAAACCAAATGCTACAAAAACAATTGACGCCCATGCAGTTGACAATATTTACAAACTATAATTTTAGCTATATATGTGTATGCCATTAGCACCTATAAGCCCTGCTGCGATTACTGACAACATTTTCTACGCCTCTGACTCTTTTCAGGTCGTCTACATTGAGTTGAGCCCAGCCACATGAAAGTGGTATATATATATATATATGGTAAGTGGAAAATCAAAAGTAATATGCAAAACATTTATTTCACTTTCATAACATTTCATATGCCTTATAATTTGACTTTGATTTGAATTGTTATTTGTCGATTTTCTGCCTCGATACTATATACACAAATACTTAAATATTTTATATTTTCAATCTTTAAAGTTATATGAGTATCTAAGAAAAGAACCTATATATAGGAACTATCCATATTTCTTCTCTTAATAGTTAATTTTTCACATAAATGAACCTAGCACTTTTTCCATTAATGCTGCATACATGTAAATTTTAAAATTGGCGTTCTGCCGAAAATATTGCCTGAATCAATTTAAAATTAAAACAAGAGCCCGACTAGAAGATACCCTGAACCAAATTTTTGTGAATAATTAGAATAGAATAGTTGTCTCAAGAGGCTTAGTTGCAGTTGAATGCACTCACTCTTTGCTTGCTGCAAGATAGCTTAGCAGGGACAATCAACCACAAAAGAGTCTGCTTCCAGAAAGAATTGCATACTTTGGGACTGGCGGTCAAAAACGATTAGCGCAAGAAACATAGAAACATAGAGAGTCCAGTGGGAAAAGATTGGGTGCTATTCAAGAGGAACCATATTATTAATGGACTGATATCCTCGGCAAAGGCAGAAAACCTGTAAAAGATGGCATGGGACTTGAGGAACAACGAGATGGAAGCAATGTCTTCATTAGCCAGGAGACTCAATCGAGACGAACCAAACGGCCGAGGGTCAGCATGTTAGAGCAGCGTATGATTCCTTCTAAGAAATGCAAACGTCAGGGACAGATTCTGGCTAAGCAGGCAGACTCAGGTCATCTGGAGCAGTAGGGAGCATAAAGCCCTACATACACACTTAATCAATATGAATTTGAATATTCCACTCGCAACTGTAGACAATTTGGGGGAAACGGTTGTATTACGTGTTAATGGGACCAACTTATTATTAATTAATTATTAAACATATCTGTGGAATTTAATCTTTTTGGAATAGCCTCCAAACTTTTTTAAATGGCCTAGTCAAAGATAACTTTAGAGCACGGCTGGCTGAAGAATTGATGTCTAAAATTTGAGACAGAAAACTTAGGCCGGGCAAGGCCGGGTCTGCTTATATGTATGTTATATACCGAAATACGCTTAAATTGTTAAATCAACAACCAATTTGAGCAGCTAGCAGGCTTGTTTCACAAACAGTCGAGAGGCCACAGGGATTAGTTGTGCTTCATCAAAATTTGAATTGCTCGCATTTGCATGCTGTGGACCAGTTGCAACATGCAGCATGCAACAGCAGAACTGTGTCTGGCGATTAACGTCATAGTTGTAGCCGTTATGCAGACATGATATCGTATGTCAAAACAATAAGGTCGAGTCCTTCGGCAACTTGAAAAATTGAGGACCTTACCTACATCAGCAGCAAGCGGCGCACAAGGCGACACGCAACTGTTCCCAGGGCACAGTTGACACTGTGCAACGTGTGGCAGAATGCAGGACGCAGGCGCACGACTACGGCCACTTTCGGTTCGAAGAGCTTTGGCCTCAGAACTTTTTGCCGCAAAGCTCGTAAAAAGGCCGTTAAATGCGAATTTGTAAATAAGAATTCGGCCGAGTTTTGTTTAGATTGATTTTTGCTTTATTTATTGACAGCTAGACTTATGCTTAAGGTTATATGCTCTAAAAATATAGGGTATTTACTTAGTTGCTAAACATTTTGCTATGCGTTTGTTTTTCTTTTACTCTTTGTCTCGTGTGTGTGTTTAGTCAAAAAAAGTGTGTTAGAATTTGAAATAATTAAACATTGTTGGCGACTCAAGTTTATTTTTCTGTACAATTTGGATTTGAATTAAATATTTTTTTTAAAGAGTTTTCATGTTGTTTTTTTTTAATAAATTCGTAATTTTGTCTAGTCAAGTGCCCGTTGAAATAAGTGCAAAGTATATTGAAATAACAAACTTTTCGAGATTTTGTTTCGTTATGTTTTTTTGCTTGAGCCTAGCTCGATAAGTTGAGTTAAAGTTTAAAAACTACTTGGGGAAAGATATGTGTGTGTGGATCAGGGGATTTATACTAAATAAAACTAAATTTTAGCTAACGTGTAAACTGAAAGTTCTTATCGATAGACTTATATTTGGAATATATGGAATTTGTTGTACAATTTTTAGTTCTTATTTTCTGTAATTCTTAGTTTTTTTTTTTTTTTTTTTTTTGTTTGTCTAACACACATTTATAAAATATGCTTTGCTGCTGCATTTCCAAACGCTGTTTCTAGCCGTTTCTAGCTGCTGTCGGCTTGTTTTTCTTCTTGTTTTTAGGCACTACATCACTTTTCACTATAATCTACCCACCCCATAACCAGACTTTAAAGCCATTAACACCTTTGGCGTTGGCCTTCACCCTTTCACCCTTCATCCTTCACCCGCAATCGCCGTCTGCTTCATTGTCTTGGCCAATGTCCTCGCCGCGATGACGTCCGCCCGAGCTGTCCGTCCGGCCGACCGCCTAATACATGCTGTGCTGCAGCGTATAGGGGCAGCAGACCGCGTAGCTGGGCACCCGCGAGTATAGCCCGGACATGCCCTTCATGTAAACGTACTGAACTGGAGGTCGCAGTATGCTCTGCTGCTTCTTGTCCTTTTTCGACGACTTTGATGAGCTGCTGCTGGTGCTGCTGCTGCTGCTGTTGCTGTTGCTGCTGTTGTTGCTGCTGCTGCTGTTGCTGCTGCAGCTGCTGCTGTTGCTGTTGTTGCTTCTGTTGCTGTTGTGCGGCATCAGCGATTTTTTGCCCCTCATCAGCGAGGACACATTGCGCTGTCGCCGCGGCGTGCTGCTGCAGGACAAGGAGCGCAGCGATGCTGTTGCCGTTGTGGCCGCCGATGTTGAGAAGTGCTGCAGCATGCGGCTAACCGAGGATGAGATGGAGATGCGACTAAGATGCAGGCCAGATGTCTTGTTACTGACGCCAGCCGATGCGGCCGAGGCAGAACGCGGCTCTGGTTCGCTACCATGCGGTTTAAGGTGCTCCAGATTCTCATTCTCGTTCTCATTATCGTTCTCATTCTCATTATCATTCTCATCCTCGTCAACACTGCTGCCGCTATCATCATAGTGATGTGGATGCAGTTGATCCATGGCGCTGCCGGGTCGATAGACAGTTTCCACATAGATGTGTCCAGCATTGTTATCGTAAAATTCCAGACCAGGCGAACTCGACTCTGAGGTTGTGCGTGAGGTGTGCTCCAGATCGAGACTGGAGCCGCCATTGAGCACCTGAAGGCAATCATTGCGCGAATTGCTCAGACTGAACAGATCCGTCGCCGAGCTGCGTATATCATCCTGGCTGCTGTAGACGGTGTCGTTCTGGTGATGATGATGCTGGAAATGACGGCCCAGATGCCTGCTGAGCAACTGCAGCAGGCTGCGCGATCTGGACAGCTTCTGGCCGCGCGAGCCGCGTTTCGGCTGCTTGGGCTGCTTGTTGCCCAGATCCATGGAGGAGCTGCTGGCGCTGTTGCCGCTCGAATTGGAGTTGGAGCTCGACTTGGAGCAATCGTTAGGTGATAGCGTATCCATCACGTTTCTCTCACTTTTATTTTCAACTGTTTTCTGCTTAAAATCTTTTTCAATAGGTATTCTATTTAATTTTTTGAATTTCACTTCAAGTCCACTTGTTTGGGTTTTAGTTGCAACGCGTGTCGCGACGTGTCCTGGCATTAACTGCTGGGGCAGGCGTTGTTGCTGCCGCTTTTATAGCTGCAGTCAATGTCGACTGATGCTCGAAAGCTTCGCGTTTAACCTTCGTGCCTGTGGCACACACACAGCTCGTCGCCGCCCGCCGCCCGCCGCCGCCCGCTGCCGGCCACATCCGACGAGGACGAGGACACTTCGTGCGCTGCCTGCCACAGCTCGAGCCGCAGCAGCAGCAGTGCCCGTGCAGCTGTCGTGGCAGCCACAACGTGAGCGGCGACGACAGCATCTCTTATCCCAGTTTCCACTTTCCACCTTGGATCTATACAATATTTACGTAAACTCCGCAGTACCTGTTGCCTGTTGCCTGCTGGTTGTTTCGAATGCTTGCCTCATTCGTCAACGTGATTTTTGCCGTCTGCTCTTGCCCCTCCCCCGTTTTTCTTTTGGCTTAAGAAAATCAAACGACGCTGCAATTTTGAGCTTTCACCCTTTGGCTGGCTGTGTGATTGAGAACGTGACTTTTGCACGTCATCCGCCTGCCTTCGCGCACCGTTCGCACCTTAGCCTTTCACCTGGCACCGAGGTACACGTGAAAAACGCCGCACCACATAGCTGCCACCGAAACCCGTTAGCTGCGAGTGCACCGAATGCCTCTGCGGTGTGGCACCTGCTTGACCCAAATTAGGGTCTATCTAGGGTCCATACCCGATAAATTCATCTGCCATTGCGACTATAATTGACTGCGGTTTTTCTCGCTAAATTATTTTTTTTATGCTGCCGTATAACTCTCCCATGAAGTTCAAAAACTTTAGAAAAGTTTTCTTTATTTATGACAAAATAATTTATATGTTACCTATATTCTAACTTTTAAAAAAGCTTACAAAACTTGAAATATTGTCTTAGCAACAAAATGATTAAACTTGCAGTCTTTATGTAAGAGCTATTCAAAAGAGTTTAATGATGATTGCGCTTGCCTTTGCATATTAATTTGAATTAGACAATGTTGAAATATTTGTTTTGTGGGTAAATTATAAAAATCCGAATGCTTGACGGTTGTGAAAGACACATCATCCATTTTGTATTTTGCTAGGCTCACACCTGGGAAAAGATTTATGTCTAACTTCAAACTTCAACTTCAAAAGTGAAATAATAATTATCTGTGTATTATACGAGACATACATAAGAAATATTCATTGTATATAAGACTCATTTGGCTTCTTCTTGACTAATGGCTAGCAGACTTTCGTAATTTGTTTCTAAAACACGTTTTGTTTCGCTTAGCTCCAGTTGCATTCAGCACGTTGCAGGCACACACGTCGCACTCACCTTGGCTACAGCATATGCTGCTGCTGTTTCTGCTTCTGATGCTGCTGCTGCTGCTGCTGATGTTGCTGCTTCTGCTGCTGATGATGCTGGTGATGATGCTGTTTCTGTTGCTGATGGGCATGGACAGCAGCAATCCAGCTTGACAAACCATAAATAGTTTCAATTGACGCAATCGTTTTGCAACTCAACGTAATTCCAGTGAGGCATACCTTACTTAAGTCCTCATTTTGTCCTTAGGTCCTGTTTTGCAATATTGCTTAGAGCTTAGAGCTGGGCCGAGCATAGCACACGACTGCAACATACTCTGTTAGAATTGTGACTTCTGAGCTACGATAGAGCAAGTGGGTGTGGCAAAAATACGTAGTAGAAAAATTCATAAGTAGGCAGGTTATCAAGCTCTCTCACTATAAGAGGAATTAGTTTTAGAAGATTAGCTCTAATGTGCCCTCATTTTTTCTAAACTACAGTGTGCTTAAAGCAAGAAAGCACTGCCAAATTTTCTTAGACATGTGACATAAACTATATAAACTTTATATCCAACCGATTCTATACTCTATAGGAGCCAAAAAGTAAGGCTCGCAATTGCAAAATTTTAAAGCGAATATCTTAAAAAACAGAAACTCTTGCCATACAAAAACTGAATTTTCGAGCAATTCTTTTTAAAAAGCTTTAATATACTCTAACTTGATATTGATTTTTCTCGATTTTTCTCATGGCAGCATAATAAAAATTCTAAATGACAAGTAGGTTCAAGAACTTAGCTTCCCTTCGATCGACTATGATAGCTATAGTGGTTCCCTCCGGATGATTTCTACTACAACAAGCCGGACGATAGACTTGCTGATACTACGCATGGATACTTATTCAAAATATATATACCTTATGGGCCACAAGCCTTCACCTCTCATCTCGGGTTTTTAATACCCACTGAAAGCGTATATATATATAGTGTGTTGCTAGTGACGCATAGTCAAGGTCATTCGTATCCGGCGGAAAATATGTGGCAATGTCACGTAGCAGCGATTGGGTCACCTGTTGCTCCTTAGCTACCAGGTATGCGGCTCCGTGTGGAGCTCAACATTGGTTGGCTTTCGGCAAATAGGTAAGCGCCAGGCGCCCCATTGCGTTGCCCCTTGGCAAATTGAAGTACAAGGCATTACGAACCTATTTGTTTTGTGTTTATTAGATTGGCCAATTTCACAGTAGCTGCCGCAGTCGACTGATGGCTTTGCCAACCGCTGTGCATGCCGGGCATCAAAGCAGAAACGGGGTTAGCGACAAGGCCCCAATGCCAATGTCGAGTGCCGCACCGAAGCGCTGTCCCGGCGAGTACGTGGCCGGATAGGGCTGGGCGTACGGATAGCTCGAGGGGTATCTGCTGTAGGCGCCATCATGATGCACTGGTCCGGCTATGCCATAGTAGTTGTTGTAGTACGTCTCTCCTGGCAGATAGGTGCTCGTATACGGTCTCTGCGCCTGCACGCCCAGCCCGAATGAGACGAGCGGCTTGGCCTTGGCGCTGGCCAAGATTAGCAGCGGCAACAACTGTAAATGTTTATTGAAAGTGTTAGAAATTCAATTCAGCTGAGCTGGCGATTTGCCTACCCAAACATAATTGCGCATTTTCCTTGCTTGTTTGTTTCCTTATGGCTTTTCTATGGAAATTCTAGATGCCAGTTCGTGTCCACTCGCTGTCCGCGACTTGTGTGCTTTGCTGTGGCAGCTGCACTCCTGTGCTCCTTTTATACCTCGCATAGCTGGTTGCCTGGCTGGGCTGTGGGCCGTTTCTGGTTTGCAGCTTGGAAACTTGATTGTACATTTGTGCTTGCTCTTAATTTACTTAGTTTGTTGTTGTTGTTGTCGTTCATCGGGAATTTTCTGTAAGTTCTGTTCTTCTTCAGCTTCAGCTTCTTGTTGTGGCAGTCACGCCCAGCTCTAAGTTAAACTCGTTTAGCCATGTGAAATTGATACCGCGAACTTGTTCTATCTGCTAATAACTGAAATTAACAATTTCTTAATGCTTTGCATAGGGCTTGTCTGGACTCGACCCGACTGATGCGCTCATGTTTCATACGCAAGTGTCATGTCTTGTATTTAGAAATAGACGACAGGTAAATGCCCTGTGAACTTCTATCTTTCACTTTACAGAGTATTTGTGTTAGTTTAAAGGGTTTGATTAATCAATATACATTTACATCAGCGGAAGTAAAAGTGAGGCAGTTGCTTAAATGAATTCCTAATCGATTATTTAGGCAACTTATCCGAAAAAGAAACGAATTCTCGTTGTAAGTAAGCCAGCTTTTAAATATTTGAAAAATTGTAGAGACAAATCAAGATATATAGCAAAAATCCAGATATGTTGCAGTCTTTAATAAAAATGTATTTCCCCCAGAAAATAATTAGGGAACTATACGGATAATTGCGTTCCGTTCACCTCAAACAACCTCAAAGTGCCTTCAAATAACTCAAGGTGCTTTTGCTTCTGCTAATTACTTGGGTCAGTGTATAAAAACCAATCAAACATTAATTAATTTATGCGATTAATTGCCAGTCGATTCGGTTGGTTGTCTGGTTTCCGTGTACAGTTTGCGTACGCATTTGTGTCCAAGTCCGTCACCTGGACACCCACGAATCCATGTGACCAGCGTCGGGTCACGTTTTTCAACGTGCTGAAACGCAAAAGTTTCCATTGCAAAATGAAAAAAAGGGAAAAAATAAAATAAAAACTTGTGCGAGCAGCGTTTGTAGCTTTCCGCCGGATTTGTTGGACCGGCAACAGTTGTTGCCATTGCTACGGCTTCCATGTGCAGCTCCCGTTGGGCTCTGACGTGTGCCACGCCCCAATTTGCCGCCCACGAAAGGGTTTCAATGCTGCCAGATTTATTTTAAACGCTGTTCTCTGGCACTTGGGTTCAAGGTGCCACGTCCGAGCGGTTAGGTCACCCGATATGGCTTAAACTACGGTTCATTGTGGATGATCTCGTCGTGAATTGTTTACGCTTACGGCGCGGCCAATAGCTGCGCGCAGTTCAATAGACCAGAGTGCAGACACTCTTGGTAGGGAAATTGTTGTGACGCCCTTTTGGACCACATTGGACAATGTGAACTGTTCTCTGGCCAGGTTAACGCTTGCAAACAATTGCGATTGATGCTGACAAACTTTATTCAAATTTCAGGCGTTAATTATTTCCCCTAGAACAGATACTCATAGGTCAGGGGCTTGTAGTCGCTGCGATACTGCTGCTGGTAGGAATTGGGCGTCTCCACGCTGTGATACACATGCGACTGGCTGGCCGGTTGGATCAGCCGGGTGTAGGCCAGAGGCAGGACGGCAGCCGTGTGGCGTGCATAGGCCAAGCCGGGCGAGGTGTAGTAGCTGGTATACCCGGGCGTATAGAGTATCTCGTGGCACAGCACAAGGCTGACCAGGCAGGCAAAGATGATGAGCTGCAAGCAAATATTTGTGTTAGAGTATCTCGCTAAACCTTCTGGCTGTCTCAGCTCCAGCACTTACCAGCTTCATGGTCTTCCAGTGGAGCACAAACTGAATACCATTCGCAGCCTGGGGCGGCCTTTTATAGCCTGTGTCCGATCGCCTAGCTGCTGCTGGCCAAGGTCAAAGGCATTTGCTGCAGCGGCAATTTGAAAGAAGCCCTTAACTCAGTTTGAATGCAGCTTGCAATTGCAATTGCACTTCACAGATCGATTGACTACAGTCCAAAGAATACAATCAAAAGAATCCAGGCTCCAGAAACCACAACAAGTCAGAATGTGACGGGCGTTTAAGGGGCAAGGTCTGCAAAATACTCTGTGGCTAAGTTTATTTCAGTTATTTAAGTTCTTATTATATGCAACATTTCCGAGCTTTTAGTTGCGACAGGCTTATACACTTCTGGGGAATTTTAATTAGTCTAAAGTCAAACTGGAACCAAATCAAACCAAAAATGGAACCAGAAGCTGCGCCTTTAAAAGTGGAAAGTTAGGTTCGAAGAATGGGTTTGAACCGTAAATCGAACCACCGACAACGACATCATACAAAATTCTAGCATTATTTGCTCAAGTCGTATATACCCGCAATACTCTCTGTTGACTATAGAGCATAACGAGCTGCTTCCCCGTCTCCAGATCCAGATTGAGCGCTGATCGTCGTGCGCGTCTGACAAGATAAGCCCAAACGAGCTGCCACATAAATAGAGGTGCATGCAACATATGCTGAGGCACAGGCTGCCTACTCCTCCTCCTTCTACTGCTTCCTCAATCAGCACTCGAAGGCTCCTCCAATCTCGCTCTAGAGTTCTTTATATGGTGAATGGTAAATATTTTTCCTTTTGCCATTTGCTGTTTACATCTTTGGGCCATTTGCACTTTGTTTTGCAGTTGTGGTTGGCCAAAATAAACAATTAAGTGAGCGATGGGGGGTGGGGGGGATTCTGTCAGCACTTCCGGTATTTCGCTTTGATAGATTTCAAGGTCAGCTCCAAGCTCTACGCCGTGGGCGTATTTACACTTCTGCCCCTGAAATTGGACGCAATTTGTGCGAAGTTTGGCAAGTGCGCAGCGCTTTTTGTTTCCCATTTGTGGTCCTCTAGCATTAGCCGTAGGTTGGCCCAAAAACAAACTCCTACGCAAACGGCAATTAATGCTGAATGCCCATTATATATAATACTTATTATTCAATATATTTGCGTAGTATTTCCTATTTTGCCCAGTTCCGGTCAGCACTTATTGTTGTTTTTAGGAAAACAATTGCGACGCTGCTCATTTTGGTCTTGTGGTCTAAATCTGATTAGAGTTTTGTGCTCTTCATCAAAAACTATAACTTAATTAGGCAAATGTCTTTGTTGGGCTTTAAATCCAAATCAGATATATATATTCTTATATCTTATTCCGTATTATATTGTTATCTATATCTATCTATCTATGTTATCTATATATGAACTAAATACCTTTTGTCATTTCGTAAATATTTATTTAAGGCTCTCTTAGACAATGCACAGATTTGGTATATTCCACTTTTGAGATCCTTCTCAGCCTTTACATAAAAAAATTGAAAAAAAAACTTATTCCTATGGATCTCTACCTTGTGTTCTTGTATGAACTATTTAAACTCTGAAAGTTATAAAAAATTCTGAATCGAAGCTTATAAAAAATGCATTTCTCTTACATTTTGAGCGGCGCAGAGGTAGAAGAAGAGTGTGCAAAAAGCAGCTGCTTTACTATGTGCATGAATGTATTTAAATATATTTATTCTTCTTCTGAATTAAAATGAATAATTCATGTGTGAATACCAGATACTTTGCCCGTAGGGAAAATGACCTGATTTCACCAGCCTTTTTATTTATTGCATAATTAATTCTTTAATTTATGCTCTCCAAATGAAAATTGTAAAATTTGTGAATATTAAAATGAATACGCACAATCCCACAATTCAAACCCCCCTTTTTTCGAGTGCATTTGCTGTACGCGTTTTTTAAAGCCGCAGCTCGAGAAGCGCAGCGACCCACTGGCAAGTTTGGCTGGCGGTTAAAGAGTGGGTAATTCAAGCCGAGAACGCAGTCATTCACTTGCGAAATACGAGCTGGCCAAAAGCCAAACAAAGCCGCCCAAGATATTGGAGCGAAGGTCGTGTGTTGGGTTGCATGCCACTTGCCAGTTGCCAGTTGCCACTTACCACTCGTTATATAAATGCCACAGACAGCGCAGCGAATCAACAAGTCTTCTGGCAACATCTACGAGTCCGAGTACAAACGCCCCCAAACATGTACAAGCTGGTAGGTGGTTTGAGCCTGGCGAGCCTGTCATAATTTGTGCTTTAATACCAACAAATCCTTTTGGCAGTTCATTTTGCTGTCACTGTGCGTGGCCATCGCCTGTGCGGCGCCTGGCCTGCTGCATGCAACGCCCATCCTGGGCAGCGCCACGTCGTACCACATCTTGCCGCATCAGCAGCACCAGCATGCGGTGCATGTGGTGCGTCCAATTTGGCCAACGCACCAAATTGTGCGGCCCATCATTCATGGCGGCGCATATGGTCACGGCCATGGTCATGGCTGGCTTTAGGCCTGAAGCTGGCGGCGGCAGCCTTAGATGTGTCCATCTGCATGCCTGAAATAAAATAGTTTGAGCTTGATTGAAAAATAGCCGGCATATACTTATCTTTTCTTTTGGGCGGGTCTGGCTATAAAAGTATCAGGCTCTACGTCCAGCAGCTGCAGTTATTCCATAGCCTTCCAGGCGAACATGTGGCCAGTAAGTAGGCGTTCTCTTGCCTCACACACAACTCTGTAGAGCTTCATCTTCGGCACAGTTCCGGCTCTGCCCCTGGCTGTGGATCGGCGTGGCGCTGCTGCAGCTGCGATGCGCCTGGACCCTTCATTTGTATGTGTTGTCGCACCAGCTCGGAGCTGCCCTGGACACGTTGCCAATGTCTAGGGACGCCGGCGGGCTGCAGCTGGAGGATGCACAGGTTAAGCTGTATGAGCCCAAGGATTTCTTTCGCGACGTACAGCGACTGATGTACACCTTCTTTCATCTGGTGCAGACGACCAGTCCACAGCTCGTCAACACGTCCAAAAAGCAGAAGAAGCCAAAGTTGCCATTCAATCACAAACTGATTGTGGATCGTTTGGGCTTTGGCAATTTAACACTTAATCTAGCATTTACTTTCAACTTTATGTCGACCAACACCTTTAATGGCTAACCTAAGGGTTAAGGGGGAGCAGAAAAAGCTTAGCAAACTTTTAGGCTGCAGTTGAAATAAGCTTAAGTTAGAAATACAATTCTATTTTTTCGTTTTTTTTTTATGTCGTCAACTTTTTATTGTGCCATTAAATGTGATTCGCAGTTCGAGTGGGTTCCGGTGGGTTCCATAGGCTGCCAGCGGGTTTGTCTACTTCTTCAGCAGCAGAGGTGCAGCATAGGGCGATGCCAGATAGGGCGAGGCCACATACGGCGATGCCACATAGGGCGAGGCCACGTAAGGCGATGCCACATAGGGTGCCGCAAAGTTGCCATGATATTCGGTGCTGTAGACAGCAGCAGCAGGCGCTGCAGCCACCAGCGGGGCGGAGTAGGCGAGTGGTGCAACAATTCCAGGCTTGGCGGCAACGCAGGCAACCACGGCGAGGAAGACGGCAGCGAAAAACTTGAACATATTTAGTATTGTTTGCTGGTTGGCTTTGTCGTTGAAACAAATGATAACTGATGCTCTACCCACTGCCCAACCATGGCTTATATACGCAAATTGGTAAGACCTTGCGCGACGTATTCTCTTGGCCAATTGTCAGGCAGCGCACGTAGCCAGCCCAATTGGCAGTTATATGCGTAAGTGGCTTCAACAATACTATGTGGTTGAGTCTTCACGAGCTGTGTGTCTTCAGCTCCGTTTGGCTCATTAGCTGGGCTGGCACGCAGTCTGCGCCAAGGCTCTACCTTGTATTAGCCAGCTGCCTGGCTGTCTGGCTGCCTGGCTAACTGTATAAAAGCCCCAACGCCAATAGCTGTAATCATCAGTTCAGTTTAGTTACTTCTACAAGCAGCTCAAGCCCTACTACTAAATCCAACAAGATGTTCAAGTTTGTTGTCCTCGCCGTGCTCGCTCTGGTTGCCTGCGTCGCTGCCAAGCCCGGAATTCTGGCCTACTCGTCGCCCTATGTGGCATCTCCGTACGTGGCATCTCCATATGTGGCCTCCTCATACGTATCGTCGCCCTATGTGGCATCGCCGTATATTGCCTCACCTTATGTGGCATCACCGTACATCGCCTCGCCCTATGCTGCCGCCTACAGTGCAGCTCCTCTGCTGCTCCGGAAGTAGATAAATCCAGCCGGCAAATATCAAATATCTCTCTGCGTCTCTCTCTCTCTGTCTGCGGCAACTGAATATAAATAAATGAAAAACTGAAACTCGAAATCGAATTGTTTGCTGTGCACTTTTATCTTTTCCATATAGCCGGAGCTGTCGGGTTCAGTTCAAGGTCTTTGCCTGGCGCTTATCTAAGCCGCCAGCAGGAAGTTTGTGACGAGGTCTCGGCGGCTTTTATCTCCCGCCATTTGGTTGTTTTTCCCTTTTTGGAGTCAAAGCTCTAAAGATTTCCGGGTTGAAGTCTTTTCATATATTTATTTTTAAATCGCAATTCTTATATCTTAAGTTTAGGGCTTTGTTTTTGGCTTAGGCTAAATATTATGCTAGGCCACTCACAGATTCAGATTCGCATCCATTGTGGCTGTCGACTGGAAGACAATGCTGCTGCGATTATATCGACCCGAGCGTCGCACCTTGCGGACGCGCATTGTGACCAGGGCCACCACAGCTATCAGGATCGAACCCCCAATGGCATAGAAGAAGAGCTTCATGAACAGCAAGTGCAGTTCCAGATTCTGCGAGTGGGCGCGCAACAGCTCCAGCTGTTTGTGCAGCGCCAGCATGGGTTCCTCGAGAGCAATCGCTGCGGCAGGTTGCGCATTGGCCTGTTGGCTGGCCGAAAGACTGATGCAGGAGACGTCCCGTATATGCGGCGTCTCGTCTGTGCTGTCGTCGGGCTCAATGTGCAGGGTCACCGTGTCGGTGAGGTAGGGCTGTATGAGCAGATGGTGCAGATAGGAGCAATTGAAGCGATTGCGCGAGATGCCCAGTTTCTGGAGCACCGGAAAGGCCTGTGCGAAACTGCGATTTCCCTGCACTTCGCTGAGCGCATTGCCGTCCACAAAGAACTGCTTGAGGTTGGCCAGGTAGGGTACAAACAGATCCAGATTGAGGCTGGTCAGATTGTTGAACGACAGGTCGAGTATCTCCAGATACTTCTGTTTGGAGAACATGCCGAACTGCAGTTCGCGCACTCCAGTCGCGCGCAGATAAAGATTGCGCAGCCGCTTCAGCTGATCGAAAGTGCTGACGCTCAGGGGTCCAATGGGATTATAGGAGAGATCCAGATGCAGCAGAGCTGTCAGATTGGTTATATTCGCTATGCTGGCCAGCCGATTGCCGCGCAGCTCCAGCGTCTCTAGCTGCAGTGCCTGGTGCATTTGTATGGAGCTGATGTTGTTGTAATTGGCGCGCACAAAGCGGGTGGCATTCACGGTGAGATTGGTCAAGTGGTTGTAGTCCAGATGCAGTTGATGGACAATGCTCTTGTTGGTCAGCTGGAAGGTGTTTAGCGAATTGGTGGCCAGCAGCAGACTCTCCAGGCTGGCGGCCTCTGTGAATGTGTCCGGATGAATGCGGATTAGCTTGTTATTGGAGAGGTTCACCTCCTTGATGCGACGCATGCGACTGAAGACCTCCGGCTGGACATAGCTGAGGGCATTGCTCTCCAGCGACACCGACTCCAGATACTCGTTGTCCTTGAAGATGTCCTTATGCAGCTCGCTGAGACGATTGCCCGTCAGCTGCAGTTTGTTCAGGATGTGCAGGCCACAAAATGCATTCTCACTCAGCTGCGATATCCTGTTGTACGATAAATCGAGGCGCATCAGCGCATTGGCTCCGATAAACACGGACGTCTGCACCGAGGTCAAGTTGTTGTAGCTCAAGTTCAGGTAGGTCAGGTTGCTCGCCGCGCTGAAAGTGTTTCGCGTCAGCTCCAGAATGCTTGTATAGGATACATCCAAGGTTTTCAGATGGGTGAACGTCTCGAACAGATGAAAGGGCACATAGAGCAGCGTTGAGTCGTAGAACTTCATGAACTTGACCATGTTGCCGGGCAGAAAGTTCTTGACCACCACATTCTGGCTGTGGGTCACTATGAAGCCGGTCACCGTGCAGAATGCCTCGCCGGGATCCATGTACAGGTGCTGCTCGAACTCGTCGCAGCTCAGATAGACATCACCAGCCAGCGCACGATCCTTGCGCGACAGCACGAACAGCAGGAGCAGGAGCCAAACATTACGTATACGCATTGTGAACCGCGCGAAGCGAACACTTTTCGCAAACTGCAAAAGCATTTTCGCCAGTTATTACAGAAATGCAATCATGTAAAGTAAGGGATGCCATAAACAATATATATATAAAGTGCATATATTTTAAGATTGTCGTTCCTTTTAATGCCCTGTAAAAAACTAGAGGGGGTATGCTCAAATTGTGTGCATTTATGTAACAGACAGAAAGGTTTATCTTTGGGACTGTAAGGTTCTTTTACGTCGACTTGTGTTCGTCTAACTAGGTTGAACTTTCTTAAAGTGGTTCATAATGTTTTCTTGTTCGCATTTGAGGTCTTTTAATTTTATAAATATTAAATCAATAATTCAAATTGTGATAAAATAAGTTTGAGAATCTTCGCGCTATGAAAACTCAGAAAAAAGAATCTTAAGAACCTCTGTTCTATGAGAACTCAGAAACAAGGAACTAGGAGGAATTTGTCTTTTAAGAATGTTCAGTTACTTTGTGCAGGTCAACTTCAAGTCGAGCTCTTTCAATCTAGAACTTGTGTATTTATTTCAGATACTTCTCAGTCCATTAAATAAGCTTTGGCGCGTTCTGGCGATAAGAAATGTCGGCCTGTGCATTGATATTTTTTCTTTTCTTTCGTTTTGCTTTGTTGCGTCTCCGATTTAAAGATATTTCTCTTCTGAGCTTTAGGCTGGACAGATTTGATAGCTTTAATGGGCTCTACTCCCACGATATATTGACAACTTGTTGTGGTCTTTTTTATGTCACGATTCTGTCAGCCAACAATGTTGCAACATTGATTAGAGCATATTGCCACATGCCACGGCGGCCTATTGGCTGGCCAAAAAAGATTGCATAAGTAAATTGCAGCGTCATGTTGCGACCTTGACACATGCAAAATATGCAATCCGATTAGGCGTGCGTGCAACGCCTTCCCCATGCTCCATGCCACATGCCCAATGTCCAGTGTCATTCGCGTTGGGTTTGGCCTGGCCACAAGGGCAGGTCAGTTAACTGACCGCATAAATTGAATCGGAACAGCTACTGTTTTGTATATAAAATATTTTTTAGGCGGTTGCCTTCAAAACGCACCGCAACACTTTTTATGGACTCACATTTGGAGACGTGCTCGACATACCCAAGCAAAAGACCTCTGCGACAGTTCCAGCTACTCAGCTGCTCAGCTGCTGGGCACGTAGCCAGAGGTGTCCAATTGGCACTCGGATCGTCTATATTTTGTCATTTTTTTTTTCGCTTCTCAATATTTGGCGACTGTAGAACCCATCAAAACAAAACAAAAAACTGTCGCATTCGGACTATAAAAATGCAGACGCCTTTGTCCAGCGCATAGTCTACTTTGTTAGCTCTGCCCACAAACATTTCAACATGTTCAAACTGGTGCGTTTTTTTTTTTTTGCTCTCAAATCCTATTCTTTCTGTTTGTTAAATCCTAATTTATTGCAGTCTGCTATCATCTTTGTGCTCGGCGCCGTGCTCGCCTGCAGCCTGCAGGCTGAGGCCAAGCCCGCGGTTCTTGTGGATGCCGCTCCTGCGGTGGTAACTGCCACCAGTTCCCAGTATGTGGCACGCAATTACAATGGCATCGCTGCTGCGCCAATTGTTGCCGCTGCCCCCGTTGCTGCCGCCTACACCGCCCCCGTTGCCGCCGCCTACACCGCCCCCGTTGCCGCTGCCTACAGCGCCCCCGTTGCTGCAGCTGCCCCCGTTTCCGCCGCCTACACCGCCCCCGTTGCCGCTGCCTACACCGCCCCCGTTGCCTATCCCTATAGCTATCCCTATACCGCTGCTGCCTACACATATCTATAAATGATTCATCTGATTCAAACGGCTTGTGACTCATCAAGATTTATATTTTTTTTGTAAATAAAAACAATTGCTCGAGAGGAATTATTTGATGTTTGTTTGTTGAGAAACGTTGGCTAAAGAATGCGCTGGAAGAAAAAAGATTTAGGATTTGTGCTTTTGATGTATCTTAGCTTTCACCTAAGTTGCTTCCTTCAAATGAATCATACTTCTTTTGTTTTATATTCCTTCTATATTGATAATTTGTTAGACAGCTAACTTCCATGTTCCTGGTTCGAGCCTCATAAAAGAGTTAGAACTTTTGACGTGACAAAATGCAAATTGTAATTTAAAGTTTATTGTTTTCAGCGGAAATAAAATATATATATTTTTCTAGAAATATCTACATTGAAGTATTTTAAGAACTAAACTATGTGACTTCAATAAGAATTGCCTCCATAAGGGAATTATAATTTTAAGGCATATTTTGTAAAAAGTTCAACCAGGTTTATTAGACTTGGCTTCTAACTTTTTGTGGAATGGTCTTTTAGATGCCAAAGTATTATTATTGATTAATATTAATCGAAGAATGTCAAATAATTGCTTCGTATAGAACCCATGGTTGAAGCATTTGGCATGCCACAAAACTGATTACAAAGAGAAACAATTGTAAATAGCTTTTTGTTCTATTTGTATCTTTTTCTACAAATATTTAGAAAAAGGGGAAATCGAATATATTCTACGTTTCAGAGCCATAATTTTCATTAAACTTTCATCACAATGTTATTTTTAATTATTTAATTATTTAATAGTTATATTTGGACACATTTCTCTAAGGTTACATTTGTATATTTAACTTAACAACAATTCCGCGTATTTGCAACGATCTGTAATTTGTGCTTTGTCAAGGATTCTGAGGCTGGAATCCAGTTGCTGCCTGCCAGACAGCAGCTGTGTTTGCGGGTTTGTTGTTGTCCTCCAGCTGTTGCTGCTTCCTGCCGCAAAATGCTGCACTGCAGCGCCCGAATGGCGCCAACGCAGCTGGGCAGCACGAGGGCAGCTGTGCAGAGCTGACAGCAGGTGGAGCAATCCTCTGGGCAGCACAGGGCAGGATTATTCGAGCAGCAGCGACAGCAATTCGGCTCAGCGGGCAGCACAAGGCGGCGTTCAACTGCCGACGTAATCTGGCCACTGGGCTCAGCCTCGGCGTGGAGCATCTGCGTCTTATCCGTTGAGTTGCGCTTAAAGCTTAGCAATTTCTTATACATTTTTGTGTGTTCTAAGCGCTTTGCACTGATCGAATGAAACAGCTTGCGGCGCAATCGCTTAGCTTTATAAATTCACTTAATGCGGCAACGTTGGGTGTCCGTGTGGGATTGGGTTTGGACTTGGGAGTGGGTCAGAAACCCAAACAAGCTCACATGTGGTATGCGGAGCACGTGCCTGCGACGTTCAGTTCGGTTTGCTGATCGTTTTTTTTTTGTTGTTGTTGTTATTTAGCGTCACGCGTTTAAAAATACTCATTGCGTTTGACTGGCCAGCGACCTGCCCCTGCCCGCCTCCCGCCCCGCTAATGAAACTAAAAGTAAAGTGCAAATTTGTAGCTGAGATTCTCCTTGGCGTCAATTGATACGACAGTCGACAGCCGACGACGGCTCAATTGGCAGGCAAGAGCATCCACCTGAGTTGTGCCTGGCCGTGCATAATAATTAATATTATTATTAGTATTCTGTTTTATTTTTTTGGCTTCAACTTTGTGCATTTAGGGCTTCGTTCGTTAGGTATATAAGTGCGTGCATTTGTAGCTGTGGGCATCAGTCAAGTTCTTCAGAACAAACAGCTCGTCAGCCAGCAAGACAAATCGCAACCACCAAAAACCACTTCAAAATGTTCAAATTCGTAAGTCCAAAATACAAAGTGTCTAATTGTGTTTTCTATATAAACAAATTGTGTTCATAGTTCGCTTTGTGCCTGTTCGCCATTGTGGCCTGTGTCGCCGCCAAGCCCGCCGTGGTGGCTGCCCCACTGGCCTATAGCGCCTACACCGCTGCACCACTCGCCTACAGTGCGCCCTACACCGCCGCCTACACCGCTGCTGCCGCCTACCCGTACTCGGCTTATCCCTATGCCGCCGCATACTCCGCCTACCCCTATGCCGCCTACTACCGCTAAGCGCACCACTGAACCACGTCAACCCCGACCAGCCAGACCTGTTTTTCCAATTGGATCCTGATTTTATTTAACTATACGCAATTTTAATTTCCTCGAGCAATTATCATGTGCTTAAGCTGTTCCTTTACTCGGTTTTTGTTTCATCTTTTTGGTTTTTATTTTTGATTTTCTAGTATTATTTTTGATGATAGAGAGAGGGAATATTATTGTTTGAATAAATGCATTTTGCGTAAAACGTAAAAATATTTTAATTGACTTTCTTAAGTAATTCATGTGTTTACTTAATTGTCTCTGCATTTTTTTCTTTTGACTCACTTGACCTCCACAAGGACGTTTGCTTGTGTTTTTCCAAGTGTTGCCTTCGCATCGAGTGCTCCTCCTGCCCATTCGCCCGATTTGGACGCTATTTTTAATGTGCAACACAATTAAAATGCAGAGTCCGAAGCCTCCCATTGAATATATGTACTTGTAACTGGGTTAGGTTAAAATGACGGGCACGTAAACAGTAGCCAACAGTGGCTGATCTGAGGATTGGTAAGCGTTAAATTATGATAATCGCATCCACAGAAGGCAGCTGCTGACGCCAGCTTTGGTCCCCCCTAGCCTTCGTGCCCTCCAGCTGGCCAAAGGCGGAAGTGACTAAGCTCTTGAGTTAGGAATGTGGATTATCGTGTAGTATATCAAATGATTTGCTATTTTGGTTAGGATTTGTTGGCCTTGTTTGCGATCATTTTAAGTATGGTAGTAAAAGTGTTTGTCCCTGGTTATTGTGCGTGCGCATTGGCAATATTTGAATTATTCAATGCAGGTACAGCTCAGCAGACATTGGTAGGCCGTTGCTTTAAGCCGTGTTCATAAGTCGAGTCATGAGGCTATTAAAAATTTAATTCCCAATCTGTGCGCAGAAGCACAATATTGCAGGCCACACGTGCCACAAAGCCAAACAAACAACATTCTGCACTGGAACCCAACCACTTGCTGGACCCTACAGTTCATTGCCATCGCCGATGACATTGAAGCATTGCATAATCCTTTGGCACTCGTCATGTTGTTATTTTCTCCACTGTTCTCTATTTATTCTAAATACACCCTGCACATATCGAAATGGGTCCAATGGGTGTGCACAACGGCAATATCGAAATGGGTCATATATTTCTCTGATCTAATTATCATTATTATCATTGTACTACATTAGCTGCTAACGCTCTAATGCAATGAGCTTTGAGCACTTCTCCAACAAAATATACTTTTAAATGAAGTGCCTAATTTCTATTATATTAGTTGTGATTATATATCTAAAAGTAGGGTTCTTTGATTATAGACATATACTGGCAGCTAATACAATGATAGTAATTTTAGTAATAATAATTATAATATTAATAAGTTGACTAGGGTATTTCGTCTGCTGCAACGCAAAGACATTAATTGCTAGCTTGTTTTTAATTGAAACTTGGCGCGTTTGTTGCGTGTGGCAGCAACAGCTGCTGGCTTGCCACAACTTTGCAGAGCATGCCGCTTCTAACATCTACTTCGCGTTGTCTTGTGTTGCATTTAATTAAAAGGCGCCACTTGCGAACAAATCTCAGCGATCAATATTGAATGGGCCTTGCCACTCCTTGCAGCAAGTGCATTAATCATACGCCGCGTGGTACCGCCAATTGGCTATCAGAAAATGCATTTCATTAAATGTTTAAATGTCGAGCTGCTTGCAAATTAAATCAAATGCCGATTTTGGCTAGTTCTCGAGTGTTTTTTGCATGATTTTTGACGCCTACAAATTGGTATTAAAAGTTGCCACGGCTCATTTGATTGCAGGGCGAATCGACCACGCCCACAGCAACGCCTTTATAATTGGTATAGCTTAATGCGGCTGAAAACAATGTTTCCCAGGCAACTCGTTTGCTGTGCGATCGCACGTTTTAATCAGCTTCCCTCCTGCTGCTAGCTATTTATTTTTTTTAAATGGCTACAGTGCTGCCGTTTAGTTAACGAACACAGTGCCCACAATTAGGCAACTGTCCAACTGCCTGACTAGTTCAATTTGTGCAGACATCAATAAAGGTCGATTTTAATCGACGCGTTGCACAAGTGACAAAATTTTAATTGAATTTAATTTTTTGGCGCTCACTGTACCCAATCACTGTAAATAAACCGGCTACAGTGCCCGCAAAGTAGCCAAAAAAAAAAGAAAAAAATACACTAAAAAATTATACAAAATAATCGCCCACTAGCCGGGCACATTTGTATGCAAATATTTTGTCTGGGCGTAAGTTACGCATAATCACAGCCCGTTGCAATTACCCAGAGTCTGGCGTTGGCCACCTCCATTGTCACCCGGGCGCCTTTCCATTTGCCACAGGGAGCGGTGCTGGGGGAAGCTAAGATTTACGCAGTCAATTTCGAGTTGCTCCGCAGGGCGTAGCGAGTGGCCAAGCGGGCAGGTGGTGCAATGGTGCAGTGGTGCATGTAGCCGGCAGGCACTTTAAAAGTTTGGGCTCTTAAGTTTACGTAAAGTTTAGTCTGATTTATGCGTGAGACGTGCAGCTGCTGCGGAGGGGTGTCTGGCAATTAACTGTCAGCCACAACAACAACAACAACAACAACAACGTTGTGTATTAGAATTATTACAACAACAATTTGCATTGTGCTCGCATTTGATAGCTCTGAATTTATGATTACATTTAAAGTGCTTGCACAGCGGCGCCCCAAAAAGGGGCAGCTGACGTTAGCCCCTCTTGCACGCTGACCTTGCGGCGCCTCTGACGGCTGCACCAGCCGCTAGGCTCGAGACAAACATCGGTTATCGACAACTGGCTGCCCTAGATAAAATTTATATAGAAGTCCGGCTCGAGCAATCAACACAACAACTCGCATTATGACACGTACACTGAGCGAAAAACAAGGAACTTGTTGGTGCTGGCGAGCTTCGCAAAATTGAAGATATATTTATTGAAAGAACAAAATTTGGCAGCGTATCGATTTGAAGTGTCAAGGGATTTATCCTTAATTTTGATCACGGCTCAGATGTGTAACAGTGCTTCGAGTCGTTCGGATAATGTTACCATATCTTTATATCCTTCAATCATTTAAATTGTTCAAATACGGAAATAATATTTCCTCAAAATAAGGTTATATTTAATCTTGTTTTTAAAGAGATTCAGCACATACTGATGAAATATTTTTGAATATTCCATAGCTTCATCTCAGCTAAGGTACAATAATGCGTTTAATTTCTTAAAATCCGCCCCGAAATCAAATTTTCAACCTACCCAGAGAACTTATCGAAGGCTTTATTCAGACTTCATTAGCTGGCCTATCTTAACTCAATACCAGAAAAGTTCTGAAAGTTTCCCACGCGATTTTCTCAGTTTTATTTCTAAATTCTTAAATTATTTTGTGTGCATAAAGCTGGGTCGCAGCGACAAAGCAATTTTCCTGTAACCAAAAGCTGTAATTAAGACTTAATCTTGAAAAAAAACTCCTGCTAAATGGCCAATTTACGCATTGCTCGAGCCGTTCGCTTGGAAGATAAATATCAGACAATATCTCGAGTGCAACACGCACTCAGCGACCAGTTCTTAAATGTTTTCGGAAACTCGTTCAAATGCAATTTAGTTTTATTTATATTTTTCACACAGATTTTATGATACATATATCAGTTTATATATCTGTGTATATGTTTAACTGGCATATATACAGAGTCGAGCAGAAATGATTCCAAACATCCGCATTGGCCGTGTTGGCAGCTTTTAGGCGGGTCTCCAACGCAGCAGCATAAACTGGGCCTGACCCGACACACACACACACACATACACCCGATGCCAACTGCATCCACGAGTTGCACTTTGCATGTGCAACACGAGGTTTCGCAGCCTCCAACAAAAGTAAAAGTGCAGTTTGGGCCGTTCTCGCTGGGGTTTTGGGCCTCGACTTGACTCGATTTGGCTATAAAAGCATTTGAGCCCAGTTGGCAGGCATTATTAAACGTTGTGTTCTCGTCACGAGTAAATCAGCCAAACAACTTCCCAACAACATGTTCAAATACGTAAGTCGTGGCCCATGGAGCTGCCTGCAAAAATAATTATGCTAGGTTCAAATTCTTGTCACAGTTCGTTGTCGCCTTCTGCTGCTTGGCCAGCGCTGCTGCTGCTCCTGGCTATTTGGGTGGATTGGCCGCAGGTCCGGCTCTGCCTTTGGCCGCCGCACCGGCCATCTCCTATGGCCACGCCTTGGGTGCGCCTTCGCTTGCCTCGTATGGATTGGGTCCCAGGTATAGCTATGCCGCGCCAGCTCTGGCTCACGCTCCACTGGCTGCACCCGCCTTGTCCGCCTATGGACTTGGACCCAGGATTAGCTATGCTTCGCCAGCTCTGGCACATGCACCACTCGGTCTGGCACATGCACCACTCGGCCTGACCCACGCACCACTCGCTGCTCCACTGGGACTTGGCTACAGATCGTATGCTGCTCCTGCTCTGAGCCTGGGCCATGGCTGGTAGAGAAGCTCAGCCGAAAGTCGCTTGCGTTTATTGCTTTTCGTTTCGTTGAAAATTGTCAACCTCTGAGAGAAAGTGAATTTGAATATTAATTATATTTCGTATTTGATCAAAAAAGCGCGTATTAATCTTCTCGAGCGAGCTAGAAATTTATTGATACGTTTAATTGCTTAGATCTAAAGCTGACGAAACTGACTCGATTTCAACTCTCACACGTTCCCAGGCAAATTAAAGCGAAGCTCACCAGCCATAGCCATGGCCATAGCCCAAGCCCAGACCCAGGCCCAGGCCATGTCCATACAGGCCATGTCCGTAGCCGCCCAGATAGCCGTGTCCCAAGCCGTATCCGTAGCTCTTGCCAATGATGGTTTTCGTAATGATGGGCGGGACAATTGTCTTGATGATGGGCGCATGATAGCCTATGCCCAGACCTAGTCCATAGCCGCCATAGTGTCCTCCATAGTGTCCGCCATAGTGTCCGCCATAGTGGCCCAGGCCCAGGCCCAGACCGCCATAGCCGAGATGATAGTCATGTCCAAAGCTGGGCTCTGGTGCTGGCGCGGGAGCTGGAGCCGGTGCGGGCTCTGGCGCAGGTGCTGCCAAGCAGCAGGTCAAGCCGAGCGCTGCCAGCAGTAAAAGCTGGGCAGGATTAGGATTAGGTTAGCTATATGGCATCGTCTTGCTGCGGCTACTTACTCCCTTGTGCATATTGTTGTTAGCTTTTGCGTCTGCCTACCACGTGTTGTACTCCAGAAGCTCTGTTGGGCTTGTGCTGCTGCAGTTGCTCCAAGCTGGCGTCTTTTATACCTCGCCTGCAACTAGGAACTAGCTGAGCTGCCACCCAAAATTGGGCTGTCGATGATCTAATGGGCACCTCATTTGGACACTATATGTGGCTGCTTCTGTTAATCTACTTTGTGTGTTTTTTGGTCAAAGACTTTTCACCCGGTTCGCGCGATCCGAGCAATCAGGCATTGCTCATACGCAATGTGGACCGGCACGCCATCGTAAATTGGGCAAGTGTTGAATTTGCAACATGCGACAAGTCGCACGCCAGGCGGCAACATGTCGCCCATTAAGTGTCCAGTTTTGGGCGTGGCTGCGGCCACTTTTGGCACTGCTTAAACCAAATCGTTTTTCTTTCGCAGCTGCTGCTGTAGGTTTGCAGCTAGAATCGATTGAGCGCAGCTTAAACAAAAAGAAAATTAAATAAAATCAAATTCATACTTAAAAATAAGGTCAATGAGCTCTCTATTTATGCCACAGCGGGCATTAGAGTCATGTGACGCAATAATTTATGTATAAAGAGCAGATCCAACAAAGAGATCTGTAATCAATTCTTCTCTATGCCCGAACTGTCGATCGTTAAGAGATTGGGCAACCAGCGCGTCTTTTAAGACAATAAACCCCAATAAACAATGGCAACTAAAAACCTACTAAAATAGCTCAGTCACTAACTAACTATAAGCGTTAGCAAGAAGAAGCACGAGCTGCTAGGTGATAGAGTACGCGACTAGCAGATGCCCTGTTAAATTTGTTTCTTTGTATTACATTGCATGTATCCGATTATTGAATAGCTTCTGAAACGATAGTTGCACATAATTCAATGAAACCCATTTCAATTTCAGTTTTGTGTAAGCGTGACTTAAGCTACCCTTGCAAAATATTCTGGTCTCCCGGCATTAACAAGCACCGAGCATGGGTAAATTGTAAATCTTGATCATAAACAAATATTTATATCCTAGATCGTACTCAACAATATAGATAAGTATATATATTTATCCAGTTCTGTCTAGTCCAACAAAAAAAAATGGTTTTCCTAAAATTTCAATTATTCGTACTTCCACTCATTTTCCGCACATTGAGGTGTTTTTATCTGTAATATTTTTTGTGTGTCAGTGTGCATGGAGATAAACTTTATGGGTTCAAAAAAATAATTTTCTACGCGCTTGTATTCGTGCGCACATCTTTACGATTATGATACCCACACTTAAACTAGTGTTTTTAATGTGTACAGGGTATAATAAAAAAAACTAAAATTACATTCATAAGCTCTACAAAAGAGTCACTGACACTTGGAAAAAACACGGCAACTTCAACAAGAGGCGATCAGCTTCGTATTTAATCTTGAACTTGAAAACGAGTTTTGGGAATTCGTGTGAGTGGAGTATCGGAGATTGTTAACTGTGGAACACTAGGTGTGCGGTGTTGCAACTGGTTCCCGATCTGAGAAAAAATGCAGCCAGTTAATGTCGTCAACCGGTTCAAGATGCCACCAGCCCCAGCCCCAGCCCCAGCAGCTTCTAACTGTACTTGGGCAGGCCTCAAGATGCCACCGCTCGAGCCTCCGCTTAGTCGAAGTGCAGTCAGAAACTGGAACGGTTCATCATCCCAGCTCTCTCAGAATGCGTACATTAATCTCTTGGCTGAGCTACACGATCCTTGTGCTGCTGTTGGCCCTGCATCAGGCACAGCCTGCCACGCTGGTGTACCATCAGCCCACGGCGGTGGTCTATCATCATCAGCCCGCCACGGGAGAGGAGCAGCAACATCCTGGCTATACCATTGTGGCACCGCTGACGAAGATCGCGCATGTTACCTACGATTCGGTGCCCATTTCTCACACACCCTTCGAACATGTGCCGCTCTTCCAGCGCATTGGCCACGTGAAGAGCGTGCGGATCTAGCGCTGGCGACGATTAGGATTAGTGTTCAAATAAAGTGAATTTACAATTTATTCGCCAAGCATTTTGCTTTCTAGTGTGTAGTTTGGTCTAAGTGAGTGTGTGTTGGGCTTAGTCTAGGTTGTTTTTACAGGATCACATCTAGAAGAAGTAGGGCGCGGGCGCGAACCTGGGTGCCACGGCCAGAGGAGCCGGTACGGGGGCAGCGAAAGGTGCAGCAGCTGGCAGACCAAATCTGGTGGGCGCAGCAAAGGCCAAAGGCGCGGGCGCAGCAAAGCCGAAAGGCGTTGCTAGTGGTGCGGGCAGCGGTGCAGCCAGAGGAGCAGCGACCGGAGCGGGCAGCGCAGCCGGCACTGGAACTGGAGCTGGTGCCAAGGCAGGAGCAGCAAAAGCCACCTTGGGTGGTGCAGCAAAAGCAACTGGCGCTGGCACTGGCGCAGCCAAAGCAACGGGTGCCACTGGTGGTGCTACCGGGTAGGCCACAGCATGATTAATCCGATGGGCATTGAAGCTGGAGGCATAGGGCGCCACAACGCCAGCGGCGGCCAGTGGAGCAACAGGTGCAGCGGCAAAGGGCAGAAGACCCGCCTGGGCGCCAGCCACGCACAGAGCAACGAGCTGCAAAGCGAAGGGAGCACACGTTATAAAACCCACATCCTGGGCCAAGGAGCTGGCGACTTACCATAATTTTGGCGAACATTTTGCTTGGGATTTGGGCTAATTTTTTGGTGGTGGTTTGTCTGAGTGCTAACTTAGCTTTGATGTCCAATTGTCGAGTGTTTGGCGTTTTTATAATTCTGTCAGACCGGGCTGGGTGCTGTTTTCGGTGGTTGTGGTGGGCCATACCAAAGCAAAAAAAAAAAAAAAAAACGCAAGACTTTCTACATAAGGCCGTGCTGCGAAGGGCGTTTAATGTACTTAATAATCAATTGGCCGTCTGTTACGTATTAGCGACGACGCCCACTTTCATAATTGCACGCCAAAAAATCGACACCACCCGCACTACACACACGCACCACTCGCACACATCACAGCCTAGTGGCCGACATTCGGCCGGGTTGTTGGGCAAGTTTTCGTTGTTTTGTTTTTAATATTACTTTGGTGGCATCGATATTCACCTACTAATGAGCCACATTTATCAGACGTGACACACCGTGTGGTGGCTCTTATTCCTCCCACCTCTCCCTCTTTTCTCAACCAGGGCCTCCCTCCTTATCTCTCTCTCTCTCTCTCTCTCTCTCTCGCTTTATAATTAATATTCAATATCTTCACTGCAATTGTCGCGTGTACAACTGTCGCCCCCTATATACCCCTCTTTCTCCTTGGCCCACTTCTTTACCCCGCCGCTGTCCCCTTTGTACACTGTCACTTTCTGTGTTTGGAATTCCTGATTTGGTCGCTTGTAAGTGTTGTCTGCATTTTACACACGCCAGCAACTAAATTGTTTGGAATTATTATAAACAGTTTTATTAAAAAATATATTAAAAAATAACTAGAGGAAAATTAGCTTAAAGATAGTTTGTTGAGCAGAAAAGCAGGTCTTCAAAATTCTTCAGTCATTCTCCATATTTTGACCTCTTCATTTAACCACATCATAAGAATTTCTGTTTAGTTTTCGTTTTTTATATTTATCTTTAAATACATAATTTACATTATTTTATAATTTTCTGCACGACTCAAAACTTCTTTGGTGTGGTGCAATGTATGAAAGTATTATGAATAATAGACTCCAATTCCAATTCGAACTCGAACAGAGCCCTAGAAAAGCGAATGATGGTGTTTATGGTGGTGCGCCAGCTTCAATGGCAGCGCGCGCAGATGAGCGTGTGGCGCAGCCAGCAGCTTGGGAAAAGCGTAGCCAACGGACACACGGTGCGTGGTGCGCTTTGGTCCAAATGTCGCACGATAGCTGGGCGCAAAGGGCACCGCCTCGACCACTGGCGGCAGCACCTGTGTCACCGTGGGCAAATGCAGCTCAGCGGTTGGCAGCAGATGAGCGTGAGCCGGCGGCAGACAGGCTGGTGCAGGCGCCGGCAGCAAAGGAGCAGCAGCTGGCAGCAGTGGTGCGGGTGCAAGCGCAGCTGGAGCGGGCCAAACAGCTGCTGGTGCGGGCCAAGCGGGTGCTGGTGCAGGTGCGAGTGGTGCTGACCAGAGTGGTGCAGGTGCTAAAGGAGCTGGAGCCAGATGAGCTGGCTCGGGCCAAGCTGGTGCCGGCAGCGGAGCCGGAAGCAGAGTTTCCTGCAGCTGCAGAGGAGCTGCATAGTCCACGTGATCAGGCAGCGCCTGCAATGGCTCCAAGTGATCAAAGTGGTTCAAGTGCTGATCAAAGTGATGGAGGTGCGGATCGAAATGATCAAAGTGGTGCGAGGGTTTGGCCTGCGCGCCGACCAAAGCCAAAGCCAAAACGAAAGACTGTTGGGGTTGACAAACAGTTAATAACGATTAAGTTGATGCCTTGAGCCACTTGGCCATAAAAGTCCTACCAATTTCAGCTGCCACATCTTGCTGGTGGTTTTTGTGTGGTGTTGGGGGGGTGCTGCTGTCCTTGTGCTTAGTTGTTGGCGACTGCTCGAGTCGAAGACGCGGCTAACAATGTTTGACACTGGCTAAGAGCCATTAATTTATAGTGCAAGTGTTTCTTTAAGCCTGGCTTAATTGGCCAGTGGCCAAATTGCACGTGCACTTCTTCACTTTCGGCTGCTTTCGAAGCCACCCAACTGCACCACACCTCGTTGTGGCCCCTTAACTTAAACTTTTTGGTCTGCGGATGAGGTAACCACTAACTTGAAGCAACATGGCCCAAATCGTGACTTTGTTGTCGTCGCATTTGTTTAGAAGGCGCGTTTGCTTTTATGGCGGCTCGAGGGGCCAATAACTTCTTGCACCGCTCGATATTATATAACCGATAGTTGTGTGTGTGGAGGCCAAAATGGAAAACGATTATGACATTTTAATAAAATATTGCCAAAACATGATGGACGGTCAGACAACATAAATTGAACGTTAGGAGTGCCCTTTCCAAACAGAGGGTATATGGGGTATATGCGGCTGCTTGTTAAAGTGCGCTGCATTAAATTGAATATACTTCTTTAATAAATTCTTCCTTTTCATAAATGAATACACTATTCCACGTTCACTTCTCCCATCATCTTTATATGACTTACTGAAACCTTTTTTAAATGGTTTTTAAGGAAGAACTTTTTCACACATTCAAAAACATTTGTTTTTCACCTCAAAAGAAGAGTATAGACTGTCGTCAGTATCATTTGATTAAAAGTTTTTAAATAGTTTTTAGTTTAAAATAACGATTTTATTAACAGAAAATTCGCTAGGGAAACAATTCAGATTTTGAAGACATATCTAGACCACAACTGGACCAGGAGCGGGGAAGCTGTAGGGTGCAGCATAGGGTGCTGCATAGGGTGCGGCATAGCCTGCGGCATAGGGAGCGGCATAGGGAGCGGCATAGGGCGCTGCGAAGGGTGAGCCAAGGGTGTAGGGTGCTGCGTATGGTGAGGCCAAAGGAGCAGCCAGTGGAGCAGCGGCGTAGGGAGCGGCGGCGGCATAGGCAGCTGGAATACCGGAGACATAGCGGCTGGAGTAGGGTGGTGTCAGCTCGAAGGGTGCCGTGGTGTAGGAGGACTGAGTGCCGTCATAGTTGTTGCGGATATCCACCTGGCTGCTGCCCCCAGCGGCATAAAGTGGTGCATTCGCATAGGCCACAGAGGCGGCCAGTGGTGAGGCGAGTGGTGCAACGACGCCAGGCTTGGCCACGGCGCAGGCAACGAGAGCGGCAATGATGAGCTGTGGGATGAGCAAGTCAAGTGCTGGAAGTGGTTTTCAGGAAGTGGCAGGAAACTTACAATTTTGAACATGTTGCTGTGGTTGTCTAGTGGATGACTCTGGACTGATAATGTCTGTTTTAGGCCACAGCTGCGCTTTATATAGCCACTGCACCACCGAGCCAGCATTCTGTTCGACTTAGTCGTGCATATTTTGGTCGCTTCTTTGTGCGAGCGGAACGTGTTCAGCCTTTGATAGTGGCTAGGAAGTCCAAATCGCAGTCGCAATCGACAAGTTGTCAAATTTCGCAAAGTGCTCGCATTTGTATGCAGACACACTGCCATCGAGTGGGTCAATTGCGGCTTTGCCCGCTTTAAAGTGCTTGCCAATTGGCGGTTGTCTTAGCCTCAATTTCAAGCTAGACCTGGCTATAAAATGCGTGTCGCCTCGCAAGTGTCGCATTAGTGCGCATTTAATGGGCGGCCATAAAAAGAATTTCAATTGCCTCGAATTGCTGCCTCGCATCCTGCGTCGACCTTGAGCTAACCCCCAAGGCAAGCCCCGGACAGGATGTGCTTCGCTCCAATCGGCATCTGTTTTAGCCATTATTCAGCGCCTCTTATTGGCCCGCACAGCTTGGCCAGCTAGCTGTGCGAGCAGCTCTCAAACCGGCTTGCGGACTTAATAAGCAATCGTCGGTCACGTGCTGGCGACGTCGTCGTCATCGGCTGCCTCTGCTCCTCTGCTCCTCCGCTGCCTCCGTCGCAGTCGGCGTTTCGCATTGTTTTTTCCAAGATGAACTCAAGGCCTTGCAAGATGATCTGCTCAAGTGACCAGTGAGCCGTGCTTGGTGCTACGTGGGGTATGCGCATGTGTAACAGTATCCGCATATTTATACCCTGTTAAAGTATACAACACAGGGTTAAGAATGAAACTTGACATCTTCGAGTCTATAAAGGGAATATAATCGTAATCAGCATAATTAGAACGGTATTTTAAATGTACCCATCTATCTTTCTTTCTATTAATCCTATGTAAACTTCACATTTTTTGACGCTAGCTTGCTTATACTTGATGCAGAGACGTCTTGTAAGATATATATTCTTTGTTAAACACGTCTACCCTCTACCTTTATGTCCATAATGAACTCGACTCTTCTAGAAGCTACCTTTATCAAGGTTTAAACAAAGACATATGTTAGCCAATGAAGTATATATAATTACCCACTTTTTGCTATCTATATACACTTATTTGTCTTTCTATCCGAATGTGAAGCAACATTTGTCAAATTTGGTAAATATACCTATCGTTCAGTTAGGACATATATCAAATCCCAATAATGGGATAAAGGTATAATAATGTACCGATAGAAATGATCTATCAAAACTCGTTTGTTTCTAATGTACCTGTCCCCTGTTAGGCTAAATTGAAGAATCTTACATTTAACTTTTGATTTTATCAAATTATCTTCTCGAGGGTATTTATTATTCGGCATTGTTCTTGCTTGTAGCCTACCAACATTTTGATCAACGCAACGACCTCTCAATTCTGCCGCCTGTAAACGATTCTTGACTCTGAGCTCTGATTATGAGTTCTTCCATCAGGTTGATCAGTCAGTTGATGGTTATACGGAAATTTGAGATGTTCGAGATTCCGCTCACTTCCTCGACGCCCGCTCTCGCTCCGGGCAAGACCTGCCGCTACGTAGGCACCAGTTAAAAATAATATATTTATGTATATTTAGGATTGTTTTTATTTTTATTTGTCGGCCAGTACCGTTCGTTATGGTTATTGTTTTTTGATTTGGTTGCTGTTAATCCAGTTATAAAAAGTGGTTTCTCAAAGCTGGATGCAGATCAGAGTTCCGTTTGCTGATAAATCGCGGTTAAACGATAGGCCAGGGGCATCTAAGTAGGTGGGGTGGTTGGTGGGTTACTGCTAGTAAATCAATGCCAAGTTTAAGGCCTTACGATCAACTCCTCGAGCGCTGAAACAGCTCTCGAAACACTTGTATGCAAATTAGATGCTCATCTCATTTTTTTTCTTTTTTAATAATAATCGCCGTAACCCCCGCACCCTGCATCACCACTGAACCGCCGAACCACAGTGTGCGAGCATCAGCAAACATTGATCTTTGATAAGTAGCAGTTCGCGAGTGAAAGGTGCGATCGGCGGGTCTGCTGGCCGCCGATGAAGACGTCTCTCGGTGCTGACCTTCGACTCTCCACTCGATATATGCAAATGCAGCACAGACAAGCCAGAGACAAGAGTTTGCAGTGGCAATGATCCGCTGGATGAATGGAGAAGGTTTGATTGGCGCTTGGTAATGAACCCACCCATAAAAAAAGTCGTTCGATAAATTTGATCTTTGTGTTTAGTTGTGGCGAGAGCTTTAAATGGCAAGTAGCTTTTACTTTATTTACGAGCATATTTCGAATATATTTCGAGTATATTTCGAGTATATTCACTAAGATGATTCACACACACACACACACACACTTACTCACACTCACACACAGAGGTAATAAAACAGTCGGTTGACTCTGTGGCTTGCGTTCAACTTAATATCAACTAAAATCGATGCCTACGAAATCCTATACATATGTGGTGCAACTGGTGGTGGTCAGCGCCTTTGTATTTGCGCCGTGCCGTAGGAGGTCAGCCCGGTGGTGCGCGGCACTGTGGCGTACGAGGCGCCCGCCTGCAGCGGCAAATTCGCCACATTCAATGGCATCAGGCCAAAGGGCACGGGCAGCTTCAAATTAAGCGAATTGGCATCCGCATGCGCCGTCGGCGAGCCTATGGAACGACCCGTCGCTGCGGCGGCAGCGGTCAGTGGTGCCGAGGCAGCGGCGGCGGCGGCGACTGTGCTGCCACCGAACACGTAGCCACTGCTGGTTAGCACCTGGGTAAAGGCCGCATGCTCCAGGGCTGGCTCCACAAATTGTCGCGCCACCTGTTGATGCGACAGCTGACGCTGCGGGGCACGTGGCGCGGGATAGTGATAGGCGCCCAGCTGGGAGCTGGGCGAGATTGAGTACTCCAAGTGCGAGACGTCCGCCAGCACCGCCGAGGTCAGTTGCAGCGCCAGCCCCATCAGCAGAAGATTGGCCACGGATTTCTGAAAGAAACCGTTACAGATTAGATCACAGCCAGATGTGCAGACACATACACACACACACACTCACTTTGTGAGACATTTTTGCCGTTAGATTCTTTGGATTGATTCACTTGTGTTTGCACTTTACAACACTGTTCACTCGCGTATTCAGCTGAGTCTCGAATGCGATTCGTTAGCGATTCGTTTCTGTTGTGGACGGACGCAGCCTTTCGGACTGATTAAAATTTGTGCGCCAGCTGAAGATGCTTTTTATACGCCAGATACAAAAAACAAAGCGCTGAGCCACAGCTGAGCTTCAGTTGAGTTCTGCCCGCCGACGGACAGACGAGCAGCAGGTGAGGCACTCGACCAGTCAAACAGTCGCGACGACCAGTCGACCAGTCCAAGACCCAACGCAAAGCAAAGCAATCGAGACTGATAATTTAAGAGAGCGGGTCTCGACTAGCAAATACCCTGTTTATTTGTAGCTGTGTGCAGAAGAGCTTGAAGGGACTGCGACTGTCTGTCTGTCTGGACTGTCTTTATTTTTGGTATTTTCTATTATATATATTCATGCGTATTAGTTTAAAGTATTTAAATATAAAATATTTTTATGACTATACGAACTCTCACAGTCTAATATTTATTTCGATATTACAATCGATACAACTCATTGCAAAGCAACCGTGTGAGAATATTTGAATGAAACACATTTATATTAATTCTTTAATATGCATATGAGAAGAGATACGCCTTAACACTTAATTAAATAAATTATTTTGCTGCCTGCTCTGTAAAGTTGCCACTCTTTGGTATACTCTTCTGGAGCATTTGTTTGGTTACAGGGTATAAAAACAAAAATCAAAATGCGTTTGTGCTTCTGCCGACACGACGCTGCTGCCTCTGCCAGCGTCGCTGCTGGCGTCGACAAAATATTTTGGCTTTCGGCTCAGTTGTTGGCTCAGTTGGCTCCCCCTGACGACACGGCTCTTGGCTTTTGGCCATATGCGCTAACTTATTCATTCTGCTTCTGTTTAACAGTTTGTTGTTGTTGTTCTCTCTCTCTCTCTCTCTCTCTCTCTCTCTCTGTCTGTTGTTGGGTTTTTTATTTCGGTTTAATTCGATGCCAACGTCAACTGCAGCTCTGGCATTTGTTTTTGTTATTATCTTGTGACTGTGTTTATTTATCTGTGCTAAGTTGTTGGCTTTTTTTATGAGCTGCTTTGCCATTTGCTGCCGCTGCTCAGCTGTTGAGCAGCGCCTATTGATAATATTTAGTTTGCCTTGCATATAAATCAATGTTGGTCATTTCGATTGGCATCCAAACTATGCAACAAGCAGCCGCAGCGGCCGCCGCCGCCAGTCACTCAGTCAGTCAGTCAGTCAGTCAGTTAGTCAGTTACTCAGTCAGGGTCGTCGCCAAGGGGGTTATTAGCTAGCTGATTAGTTGCCCCCAGTTTTGCTCATCTACTAATGTCAAATAGCTGTTAATCGATTGCTTAATATTCAGCCTGAGCTCACGGCAATTAGCTTTATACATGGCTACGGAAAATGTGTTAGAAATTTTGATTCGGTTAACACATAAATTAAAATTGTATATATTTTTATTTAACAGAAACATCTTCATTTTATAAACTTGATTAAAATTTTAATGCTTTCGTATTACATTGTAAATTATAATCGAGAGCTGCCAAGTGTAATTTACGATTGCAACATTTTATGTAAAAATTTACATATACATATATATTATACATCAATAAATTCATTAGTATCTTATCTTTTTCAGATATTTTAAGTTGCTGCCCTTATTTTCTGTTAGACTAATTTACAGAGAATGCAAGGATTATGCAACAATTTAAATTAAAAAGTAAGAGGATTTAAAAGAGGTAAATATAATGCACAAATATAAATTAGGGTAGATTTTAACATATAGAGAACATATTTTATAATGCTTAAGTAAATTAGAATAATTTCTTAGCTTCATTTTTTGCACAAGTTAACTCTGAACGAGGGCGTTAAGCGCCCCCTCCCATGTCGCGCACCTGCTTAGAGTTGACTGCCAAAAAAAAAAATGAAATAAAACAACAACTACAACAATGTCGACACCTTGCAAGCATGTTGAGCATTTGAACAACAGTTGGGCATTTGGGTTTATTAAACAGAAATCGAGAGTCATGTGACACCAGCTACGAGACGGACTCTGACTGCGACTGCGACAGCGACTGCGACGCCGACTGCGGATAGCTCAATGACTGGCTAATAAGTCTTTAGTTAATGTTGTTTAGGAACTTAATTGAGACGGCAACCCCGACTGCGGTTTGAACAACAAATTGTCGGCAGCACGCCAAACGCCGAGCCCCAAAGTCGGATCCAAAACCCAAACCGAATGCCCAATAAAGATTCGTCGAGTGGCTGACCTCCTACGAAATGTATTCAGTTATAATTTGTGCTAATAAAAGCGTTGGCTCCGTGTATGCAGTCATTGAAGAAGAGTTGACCCATTTGATGGATTCGGATTTACCTAACGCTGACAGCTTCAACGGAATTCGCATTGAGGTGGGTCAATCGATGGATCGATCGCTGAAGCTCGACAGTTAGCTTCGGTTTTATTGACTTTACGGTTGCTCTACGGCGGTATCTCTAGCCCCATCCGCCGCTGTATAATTAACACGCGCTGGCGTTCTTTACGATGGCGCATAAATGCCGCGGAAGATGTTTTATTATCAACAATTTAAATCACACACTTATAAATTCTCTCTTCATTAATTGCTAATATACGCGATGGCAGCTTGTCGATTAGCATTGAAATTAACATGATTATAACTAGGTAGATGTGTGATATGCCGCCTCACCAGGCAGTATCGCAGGGTAGCTCAGCCGGAATCGGAGCCGGCGCCGCATAGGCAACAGCGGGGGGCGGGGCGGCATGAACCGCAACCCGGGCATACGAAGGCTGCGCGTGGTATGCATAAGCGTGTTGTGGTGGCGCATAGCGTGTCACAAACGCAGGTGGTGGTGGTGCAGCGTAGTGTACAACTGGTGGGGCTGGAGCTGGTGCAGCGAATCCCGTATACGTGGTGGTGGTGGTGGTTACAGGTGCGCCCAGCGAATACTTGACAACGGGAGCAACAGGCGCCGCGTACGTGCTGATGTGCTGTGGTGCAGCGTACTTAATGAAAGCTGGCGGTGCATGCACCGCATGTGGCGCAGCATAGGTCAGCGTGGACGGTGCAGCAGCATAGGTTAGCGTAGGAGCTGGTGCACTGTAAACAGCGGACACTGCCACAGGAGCAGGAGCAGATGGTCCATGGTAAAGGCTGGCATGCGACGGCGCATAAAGGCAGAAGAAGAGCAGAGCGAGCTGAAAGTGGAGAGAAGAGAATCGGAGTGAGAGGGTGAGAGGACAAGAGGAGGAGCTATTTAATAGATATGGTAGTCCGATGTTGAAGTTATCTCCCGAACCGATCAGACTCAGAGTTTGTTATATAAATCAGACTTCAGGCTGAGCGACGAGGGGCTCTATTTAATCACTCGTCCTTCTCCTCCTTCTCCATGGCTTTATAGTGTCAACTGATATACCCAATAATATACCCAAAATACTTACAATCCTGCACATGTTTGTTTGCGGCAATTGTCGATTTATTTTGTACGTTTGCACTTTCAAAGACTTTCACATAAAATGAATTGATTTGGTTAAACGACGCTGGTTTTTATACTTCGCTCATCTGATTACGCATTATGTGAAATGTTTAAAAAAACAAACTCCATTACGGGAGCATTTCACGCAGCCAAAGGCCAACACCGACAGCCGGGCCACGTTCCATCGACAAGCAATTCGTGCGGCCAACTGCACGCGACACGTTTCGCAATCTCTCATGCTGCAGTCCCCCAAGAGGCGGTCCCAAGACACACACACACACACACGCACGCAGAGAGGGAGAGAAATGTGTCCAGAAGTTGCCACAGCTAGTGGGAGTCGCAGTAGTTGCAGCTGGTTCCGGTTGCAAAGAGGAATTGCGAGCACGTTTCACGCCTCATGACATCGAGACTTTGATTGATGGCAACGGCTGCCCATTGAAAGCCAACAAAAATAAATCTCACACAATAAAAATCGCCCACCGGGCGCCCTTTAAAGCCTACGCCTTGAGGCAGACTACGCTTTTTTCGAGCACAAATGAATAAGGCGCGGCACGCGAAAGTATGCATTGTGTACAAGAACTCGTAAACTCTATGAATTAAATTGCTTATTGGGCCAATTAAATGTCTCGCAAATGCGCAACACGTGGCACGCGAACTCCGCTCCCCCCAAAAATGTCATGCCAAAAAAATTAGCATAACGAAGTATTCCCAAACAAAAATCGATATGTTTCAGGTATAGTAAGCCGAGAATGTGCCAGAATTTGGCACAATGCGATTTAAATTCCTTCCCTCAATGCGCGCATGCCGCAGCACTCGAGCCTCAAGGGGCAAGGGGCAACAGCAACCGTTCAAGTGCCGCTGGCAACAGCTGCTCAGGATTTTGCCGCGCAGACTTGTTGCCGCGCATAAACCGCCTTAAATTGGGGCCACGTGCTCTCGGCACTCACCTCAACTCGCTTTTCGTGCGATTTACCTGCTGCTTTTTATTTTTTTTTTTGGCCTGGTTGCGGCAGCCCCCACTTGTGGCACGCGTTGCGCCAAATTGAGGCACGCATTGTTGCTCTTGGAGTTTGGCAATTCCTTGCTCCCAGCACACGTTGCTGCTGCCACATATCTGTGTCTGTGTGTGGCAGTAAAATGTTGCGTTTGCCTGGCTGGCTTTGAAAACCCCCGCACTTGCGACATCATCAGCACCGCGTGTTGCAGCTTAAGGTGCACAAGTCTCAGGCGTCAGCTAAGTGAATTGCCAAGCTGGCTGCACTCAAGAGTTGTTCGTCATGCACTTCCATAAAGCGGAAGTCAACAAGTTTGCGCTTTGATTTAGTTTATATCATTTGAGCAAATATAAAACTGACCCAGTTTATACTGGGCTAAGATTAAGTATGTACACAAATTGGAATAATAATTTGTCAAGCTTAAGAACATTTTCTAATAGAATAATCACTTGGGCACCTCAAGGAAAATGTTCATTTGACAAAGCATGTACCAAATTATTCTAGTAACCAATTTTAGATCAAGAAAGCTTTACATTAGCTAAATACTATATTTGGTATAAATTATAATAGAAAATAGAAAAAGGCAACTATTACAAAAAGAACAAACGAATTGAATCGGAATTCGAAAAATACGATAAAACTGATACACAAACAGTTCAATTCTTAAAGGTTTGCACTTATATGTCACCTTCAGCTTCGAACTGTTGGATCATTATATATTTCACAAATTAATTGTGTAGGGTATAAAGGTTCGTGCCTCGAATTACTTCTCAGCAACTGCTTCAGTTCCAGCTTGGGTTTCAGCTGGTAAATCGAATTAATATTTCTTCTGCATGTACTTCCCAATGGGTCTGCTTAGAGGAGTTAAATGCCCATTGTGCCTGCCCATCCACAGGGTAAAGCCAGCAGAGTCAACGCTCGCTTGAAGGTCACTTCAAAGGGGATTGTTGAGCGCGTGGGTGACGCGTGTGTTGGGTGCATTTCCTGCGGCCAGGATCAGCATGTGCAGCTGGTTGAGTGACCGACCGCTTCAGCTGGCTGTAATTAAACTGGAAATTTGTTATGCCAACCATGTACAGTTCTTGTTGCTGGTTGCTTGTTGCTTTTTGAGTTATTTCTGCAACCAATTGAATGCCCTATTAATTGCATGCGTGACGCACTGCAATCAACAGCAAAGTCCCTGATGTGTGTGCTGTTTGTTTTGCTTGTTGTGGCCGAAGGTCTTTGCACTGTTTGGCCCTGTGCTCTGTGCAATGCCTACGCAATAGACTGCACGTTCCTGCTGAATACAACACAAATAGCCAAATGGCATGGAATACTTTTAAGCTGGGCCAACTTAACTCAAGTCGCCCAGAAAGCACTCAAAACGAGTGAGCTGAAGCTCAAGCTACGGGCAGGTGTTTCGATTGCGACAATTGCACCTCATGGCCTCACGGTGTGGGAAAACAACAAGCGGTAACTGTGCCATGAGAGCACCACTGTGTGCCCCACCACGCCCCACACTCTGCCGCCCCCCCCCCCCCTTTTTTTGAGTGCACTGTGGCAGAGACATTGTTGCGCTTGGTTGAATATTCAATGCGCAAATTGCAAGTAGGAAGCGGCCCACAATCTCTGAATGAGCTCCGCCTCACCTCACTTTAGTTCTCTATGCAGCTTCGCTGAAGGTCGTTGCCAAATTGTGGTGCGGCCTTTGCTGGCTTCACTTCACTGGCCATCTAATCCGCCGAGCTGAGGACAGTCGCCAGGTGTCAATGTTATGTTTGACCAATAATAAAATTATAGTCTACGATCGTTGGGCATAATTTATGTCGATAATGCGCATTGTATCTGATATTTGGTATCTTGCCCACAATTATTGTACTGGCTAAGGCCAGCACCACAGCAGCACCACAATACCACCACAATTGCATTGTTTGCCGTCGCGAACAATAACAATATTATTTATACTAAGCACAGTTCGTCTTAAATATTTGTTTTGTATTAGTTTTGGTCTCAACTTGTTGCCGGGTTGCTCTATAAACATTCAAAATGAAAGCCAGCTAACTTGGCCAATGCGATTTAAGAGACATATTTTGTGCGTTTGGCCCACTTTTCGATTTGCTCCGATTGCGAAATTAGCTCGAACGACGCACATGACGTTGGACAGGCTTTAATAAATAATTATTTCAATTGCTCCACTCGACGCACTTTCATTTCCAGCCACTTGGCACCACTTGCACCGCCCAGCTCCCCCCTCGCTAGTTTTCAACAGGCAGTCGCATAATTGCCAGGCGTTGGCATTTGTAATGCGTTTATTTTTTTTCAAGGAAATTTCAACACTTTGCCGGCTACACTGTGCGAAATAAGTGTACAATGATAATATTCAAGCAAATTGAGCATTAATATTTTATAAATTAAATTCATTATTTTATTCTTTCAAGCTTTTGTATAAGCGTCGGACTGACAAGTCGCAGATCGCCTGTTCAATTTTAGCTTTCAGTTTGCATACATTGAAAGAATTATTGAAATACTCGTATATATAGAATAGTTTTCAAGAATACAATTATTTTTTTTTATAATTTTTTACAAGTTTCAAATATTGTACAATTTTTCCACTAAGGAATACAAAGTTTCAATATCTTAAATTCTTTATCAGATGCTTATTCTTTCGTTGTCAAATCTGTTAAATTTACCACCTGCTTTGAAGGTTTTTCTCATATTTGTGTGCTTTTCGTTTAGTTGCACTTAATATATACTCAAATTAAATTTAGTTTAGCTAGTTTTCTTTTCGCAGTGTATTTTAGAGATTACAGTTTTCTCAGCTTTGTTGAATTATCTTGCAGTTAAATATTTAGCCATTTTAATATATATAAAAGTTAGCCCCGTTTTTGACCAGTGCATAGAGTAATAAAAAGTGATCTATTGTTTTAGAGTTTTGAATTGTTTTTATTTACTTAAGTCGAAACCACGAGCATTGCACAATAACAAAAAATATAATCATATATACAGCATTAACTTGATCTCTCCTGCTACCTTCTCTCTCTCTTTCTCTCTCGCTCTCACTCTCAGGCTGTGTCTCTGTCTATCTCCGTCTCTGTCTCTCACTTTAATGATAAAATGGGGTTTATTTTGTGTTCCACACTTTGACAGCGGCAAAGCGTGCGAACATTGTACTGAAGAATCTCACACAATCTCTCGGGATTAGCCGATTGGTAATGCAGATGCAGATGTCGTTGTAGATGTTGTTGTGGTCCTGATCGTTGCTGGTCCTAGGGTTCGTCATGAGTATTGAGCTGGAGCAGTGCTTAGTGCAGGTAGCCATGTCCATAACCAGCATAGCCCAGGCCGTAGCTGCCATAGCCGCCATAGCCGCCATAGGCGCCGTGTCCATGATAGGTGGAGGTGGTGTGCAGAGCTGGGGCAGCGACAACGGCGGGTGCATGATAGACGGGCGCGGCATGCACCACGGGATAGGCCTTGGTGGCGACCTTGTACGTGTTGGCATAGGAGGTGGCCACCGGGTGGATGGTCTTCACGATGGGCGCATGCACAATGGGCGCGGCATAGCTCTTGATGATCGGCGCATGCGAGATGACGGTGGGCGCATAGGCGGGCGCCAGGGCGGCACCATAGCCCAGGCCATAGCCATGGCTGTAGGGCGAAATGAGGCCAGCATTGGCGACGGCGCACAGGGCGGACAGGACGGCGATCTGGAGGAGGAGGCAAAGGAGTTAACCGAAATAAGTATTTGCCCGAGACTATTTGGCTGTGGCGCGTATCCTTACCAGCTTGAACATGTTGTAGATTTGGCTGCTACTTGACTGAAGAGCTGAATGTGTTATGTTTAAACAGCAGCGCAGCTTGGCATATTTATACCAAATCAAAACTTGAGAAATATTCTGAAAACCACATAGACAATGCGACAGCAACAACAACAACAACAACGACAGCAACAACATGAATTTGCGCGAACTGCGAATCAAAAGCGTGAACGCCCTGCCCTGTCCACAACTTCGTAAAGCTTCGGCTATCGAGTCGGGGGCTTTGAGAATAGCAGCAGCATGCAGAGGCTTATGAGTGTGAGATACGATCTCGATTCGAGCTGTGATGCAGTGCGCCACAGAAATCAGTCACGCGCCACCTTGTTGCCTCGATTTAGCCAGAGACAAACACAGACACAGACTAGAAAAATCTGTGGTGCATGGCAAATGCATAAATAAACTA